TCTGTTATCCAGTCCCATTATAAGCGGCTGGCAGTGTTGAACCCTTTGCAATACTGAGCCCAAAGCAAGCAGACCTTTGTGCTCTAGAGGCATAGACAGACGGTATTTCCAATGCAGATTTTATTGCCATTATATTTTCCTCTGTGCTTGCGTTCTCCTGGTCTTGTGACTCCGGCCCTAAACTGCAAGGCAAATCCTTTGGAGATGGGCGTGTGGAGTCTGCCAGCCTCACGTCCCTGATTAGATGACATCCTCATCTCCATAGATCTCCATCGTCCTTATAATAGGATGTTGGGCAACCCTTGAGTCTCAGGCGTCGGCTGCTCTGTAGGTAATTTGTCACAGATGCTAACTCTCCTGAGACAGAGAAAGTCTTGGGATGGGGTGTGTAAGGTCAACGCTCGCCAGTAAACCATATCCTTTTGTGGTGGTGTGGGGGTTTTTTTGGGGGGGGGCTGGGACCAAATCCAAATGAAGCCTTCCAGGTCTGAGGGCCTCGCCCAAGGAAGTCAAGACTGCATGACCTTCTAAGATCACGTAAAGATCTTATAATTACGCAATGACCATAATTAGGGCTGCATTGCAAGGATCAGCTACCGCAGGCCTGCAGCCCCAGGGAAGCTGCCCACAAGGCAATGAAGGCCTTGGGCTGAAAAGGTTGTTGTGATTCCTGCACTGCCGGGGGTTGGGCTAGATGACCCCTGAGGTCACTTCTGAAATATTCGGGATTTCTTTAGCTACTGGAATGCCCCCTTCTCTCCCCCCACCTAATGGAACTCATGCAAGATTTGATCTTGAGCTGCTCTTCTGCAAATGGAATGGCTCCTTGCATTCCCAGAAGGAACTGCGATCCAGTAGAGGCTGCCAGTTAGGGAAGGAAAGGCAGTTTCTTGTTGTTAGTCAAGCATGCAACCTTCCTCACTGTTCTGTTGGGTCCCCCTGCTGCCGCCCCCGAGCAAATTCAGGGAGAATGTGCTGCAAAGGGGGTGACAGATCAGGGAAAGTTGTATACCCTCCAACATTTCAAAATAGGGACATTCTATTCTACATCAGGAATAATAATAATAATAATAATAATAATAATAATAATAATAATAATTTATTATTTATACCCCGTCCATCTGGCTGGGTTTTCCCAGCCACTCTGGGTGGCTTCCAACCAAATATTAAAATACAGTAATACATCAAACATTAAAAGCTTCCCTAAACAGGGCTGCCTTCAGATGTCTTCTAAAAGTTTGGTACAGTAGTTGTTGCTCTCTTTGACATCTGGTGGGAGGGCATTCCACAGGGCGGGCGCCACTACCGAGAAGGCCCTCTGCCTGGTTCCCTGTAATTTGCCTTCTTGTAGTGAGGGAACCACCAGAAGGCCCTCGGAGCTGGACCTCAGTGTCCGGGTAGAACAATGGGGGTGGAGACGCTCCTTCAGAAAAGGGGGTGGAAATGTGTGAGGGAAGGGATTGTGTACAACACTTTCAACAGATAAATGGAATGAAATAAGATTTTGGCTGGAAGTTGTCTTGATAATAATAATAATAATAATAATAATGGTGGAAACTGTGAGAATGACCAGGAACATACCAGAGTGTAAATCCTACTGAACTCAGTGGGACTTAGTTCTGAGTAGGCAGTGTAAGGAATAAACACTTCACGTGTTTCCTAAAAAAATGGCTGGCTGCTGAAGCTTTGCAATTAAATAATTTAAAGCTGATTGGTGACCTTTTCCTTCAAAATTATAGAGAGGGCTTTGTATGCCATCTTCAGCATTTTCTTCATTTGCTGCAGGTATTTTATTTTCAGTATAAACAGGACTCATTTTTTAGACTGACAATCACTTTTAATTGTTCAAGACATAGAGGAAAGGGAAAAGGAAAAGCGGGACATTCCAGGATCAAATCAGAAACCGGGATGGCTTCTGTAATTTCGGGACTGTCCCTGGAAAATTGGGACACTGGAGGGTACGCAGAATGGGCTGCTTTGAGAATAGGATGCTCAGCTGTAACTCTGCAAGGCTGAGAAAGGCAGGGACTCACCCCCAAGCCCATCCAGTGAGCTTCATGGCTAAGTGGCAGTATTTGAACCTTGGTTTATCTCAGGTCCTAGTCTGCGACTCTAACCATTAGATCACACTGTATTAGGCCCTGTAAACAGCACAATTATTTTTTAGTAAGGAATGGGAAAAATTTATAACTTATCTTAAAGGCCATTGTAAATAGTTAAAATCGTTTGTATGAATGGAATATCACTTGTAGTTTAATGGTGAATTTTGGATATAATGGAAGGGGTAAAGGGTTTGGATTATCATAAAAGATGTGGGAGGAAATGATTAATAATAGGACCCACAAAGGGAAGTCCAGGAGATTCCTTGGAATCTGGTTTTTATGATTTATGTTTGATGTATCTCTATAAAATTTTAAGTTGAAAAACCAAATAAATAAATTAAAACAGCAGCAGCAGCACAATTATTGTTTGGATAATGCCTGTGTCTATATCACTAGACACATTTGCAATGATAATAATAATGCCAATGAGAAAACATAACAACAATTCCTTGTTTTGCCGAATGTCAGGGCGAGGCGGCTCTCACAGAGCCTTCTGAAATGACAGTGCTTTCCTGAAATGGACAAATGTTCCCTGGTTAAGAAATCATTAGTCACCCATTGCAATCAGAATTTCTCATTTTGTTGTGGTGGAGGGAGGATAGCCTTCCTTCTGAGAAAACACACTTTCTTCAGAAACGATGGGTGACAAAGAACTTGCAGTAACTGTAACATAAAATGCAAAGGCTGAACTAGATGACCCCAGGGAGTCCATCCAACTCTGCAGTTCTCTGATGCACTGAATGCACAAGGTTGGCAAGTACACCAGAGGGTCATCTGTTCTAGCCCAGCTCTCTACATTGCAGCTCAGTATGCTGGACCATAAAGACCATAAAGAAGGCTGATCGCCAATGAATTGATGCTTTTGAATTATGGTGCTGGAGGAGACTATTGAGAGTCCCATGGACTGCAAGAAGATCAGACCTATCCATTCTGAAGGAAATCAGCCCTGAGTGCTCACTGGAAGGACAGATCCTGAAGCTGAGGCTCCAATACTTTGGCCACCTCATGAGAAGAGACGCTTCTCTGGAAAAGACCCTGATGTTGGGAAAGATGGAGGGCACAAGGAGAAGGGGACAACAGAGGACGAGATGGTTGGACAGTGTTCTCGAAGCTACCAGCATGAGTTTGACCAAACTGCGGGAGGCAGTGGAAGACAGAAGTGCCTGGCGTGCTCCGGTCCATGGGGCCACGAAGAGTCGGACATGACTAAACAACTAAACAACAACAATGCTAAATGCCATTCCAGAGGAAGCACTATTTATTATCATTATTGCTACAACAAAACAAATCCCAGAACTTAGCTTTGGCACAAGAAACAGAAGCAGCAACATCTCCAAGCATGGAGAGACCTCTGCTTGAAACCCCTGACAGCTGCTGCCAGCCAGTGTAGACGGCATTGAGCTAGATGGACTCTACACAAGGCCGCTTCCTTTGCACAGAGAGATCCTGGGTAGAGGTGCCAACAGAAAAATCAGGTTATTTATGTATGCTGCTACTGTGGCCCATGTTTTGTTAGCCCTCCAAAATGGAAAGCGAGCAAGGTCCCAACTAAAGAAGAATGGCAACTTAAGTTGACAGGATATGTACAACTTGCAGACTTAACATATAGAATAAGAGAACAAGAAGAACATACATTTAGAGAAGATTGGAAAACGTTTATTGAATATATGGGAAGTAATTGTGTACAGCTGAAAACACTGGCGGCATTAAGATAAATTCAACAGCATAAATAAGTTTTGATGGATGCAATAATTGAATACGGATTGGTATAGTTTTTGCAAAATATGCAGGGATTTATAATATGTAAAATGGACCATGGAAAGAGAAGGGAAGTCATTGATATCTTGAGGATGTAAAATGAGTACAGTGGTACCTCGGGTTAAATACGCTTCAGGTTACATGCGCTTCAGGTTACAGACGCTTCAGGTTACAGACTCCGCTAACCCGGAAATAGTACCTCGGGTTAAGAACTTTGCTTCAGGATGAGAACAAAAATTGTGCTTCGGCGGCACGGCAGCAGCAGGAGGCCCCATTAGCTAAAGTGGTGCTTCAGGTTAAGAACAGTTTCAGGTTAAGAACGGACCTCCGGAATGAATTAAGTACTTAACCTGGGGTACCACTGTATCTTAAATTGTAAAACAGAAAACTTATCAAAAATTATAGCAAGGAAAATCACCTCGTTTCGGTGACTGAATATTACAGCCAACTCCTAGGGGTTAAGGGGTCTTCATCCCAACCCCCAAAAATATTTTGAAGCCCACCCACTAGTTGATGGGCATTGCCATTCAAATAATGTGCACGCACTCCATTATGCGATCGATTATGTGGCTCGGGGCTTACCAGCCCTCCCGCTAATATTTTATTCAAGTTGGCACACCTGAGCAGGAGCGACAGGCTGCCAGCTTAGTAGGAACCATAAAGCAATTAGTTTTCCAGCTGGAGATAAGGAAGGTGATGGGGTGGGGGGTGGGGAATCCTTACGGAGCAAGACAATTTGGCTCCAGAGAGGGAGGGAGGGAGCAGTCCATCCACTTTACCCAGCTGGAAGGATAAATAAGTCCACCCACGCGCCTTGCTCCTCTCTGCCTCCGGCTAACTGCTAGACCAAAGGTAGCTCTCACCTGTGCGCCTCACCTGAGTGCGCGCACACCAGACTGGCAGCCCTTGCCGCCGGAGCGCCCAACCCAGCTGCAGAGAGCCAGGAGGTGGGATTACAACCCCGGGCAGCCTATCGCCTGGCACGATGCAAAGCCCCGGGGGTGGCGCCCGCTGGCCCGTGGCTTCTTAATCGCATCATCAGCATCGGGGCTGCAAACAGAGCCAGGCGCAGACTCTGCTGCCCAGGAGGGAGAGGAGAGACGCACCAGGCGCAACAGAGGCGCAGGGACTACCCTCGACATGTCAGAGCAAAGATGGGTCCGACTGTCCACCGAGGAGCCCACCAGCACCGTCTGTGTGCTGGGCACAGAGATGTCCCTTGATGTCTGCGGGTAAGGAAGGCAATTGCCCTTATTCGTTTGCTCAGTGGTGGGGATTCTCCGGCCTCTGGAGCATGCACAGAGGGCCGAAGGGAAGGCGTAAAATCTTGCTGAACGGTGCATGATGCGGGAAGTATTTAGCAAATATAGCAGGCATCAACCCAAATCATCTCCGAGTCAGCCTGCTATATTTCCCTAAAAACAGGGAAGTTTTTAATGTTCGATTGGGTTTCTGTATATGCTGGAAGTCGCCCAGAGTGGCTGGAACTACCCAATCAGATGGGTGGGGTACAAATAATAATAATAAAAATAATTTTTATTATTTATACCTCGCCCATCTGGCTGGGTTTTCCCAGCCACTCTGGGCAGCTTACAACACATAAAAACATGTAAAACATTAGACATTAAAAATATTATGAAATTATTATATGGGCTGTGACTTTCAGTGCCAGCTGTGGGAGTGGGTTTGCAGGGCTGAGTCCTGGTCCAGATCATGGGCCCCAAAGGGTTAACATAATGTACCTGGAGCAGACTCAGATTGAAGCTGGGGAGAGTCCAAAATTTATTGGGGGGGGGCACAGTGTGTGTTTAAAGCTTGCTATTTCCCCCAGTGAATCCTGGGAACTGTAGTTTGTGCAGGGTTCTGGGAATTGCAGCTCTGTGAAGGGTAAACTACAGTTCCCAGGGCAGGTTACACAATTAAAAAACAATTTTTAAAACAATTTTAAACAACTTAGTCACAGAAACAAGATGGGTCCTATGTTGTGGAGCCACACGTTGCACAATTTCAGAGGCAAGATTTGTTTTAAAGGAGTGAGCTCTCGCGGTATGTTCTCCAAGAGTGAGTTCTAGTTTTGAGTTTTTGTGTTTGGTCAGGTTATAAAAAGAAAACCATTTGTTTAAATATATCACAACACATTTTCTTTCTGTCTGCACCCTATCAGGTGTTGTATAGACCTGTAATTGATCCCACCAGCAGAGAATCGAAAATGTTGATGGGGGATTTGGGGGTAGTGAGGAGTGTAATTGATCCTTATTTGATTCGATTATTTGATTTGATTTTGACTACGGACAATCTTTATTGATTATTTCCCCCCCTCCGATTGGTAAGGATTCCACCTGATTTGCTTCTGTTGGGCTTAGATGCCTTCTCATCAATGATTTGTCCAACACACACATTTCAGAGCCTTTCTGCCTCACTTTCCTAACTGCAAAAAAGTCTCCTTTTAAAAAGTGGATTTGTTACACTGTTTATTTTATAAACTTTATACACTGCTTTGATTGTTTGAGGACAAAACCTCAAAGCGGTTTACAAAAAAGATAAAGCAACAGAATTATTACCAAGAAAAATAAACAACCATAACTTAAGACTTTTGAAAAGTCAAAATAACATTCGACTAAAAACAGATCAAAACTCACATCGACATTTCTAAGCATCTGGGGAGGCTTGTCCAAAGGAAAATGTTTTAGCAGGTGCCGAAAAGGGGGGGGGGGGTGAAGTCGCCTGCCTGATATCAATTGGCAGGGAGTTCCAAAGTGCAGGTTCTGCCACACCAAGATTGAGTTCTTACAAGTGTGGAAAGGGTGTTATGTTGCAGCTATAACACTGCCAGTTCCGCCGACTGAAGGGCAACAGAGTTCTTCAGTCCACAAATTTCTGTGCTTGAGAATCCTCCCCCCCTCCCGCACCCCGCAAAATTTTTTACTGACAAATACTATATACTGTGGTGGAAACCTGAGTTTACAAAATGTGGGGTAAATCTGAATGCCCAGTGGTGTGGAGGCAACCATCATTCCCAAAGTCTTTTCTTATGAACATAAGAAGACCCTGTGTCTCGTCTAGTCCAGCTTCCTGTTCTCACAGTGGCCGGGCAGTTGCCGCAATGGGGAGCCCACAGCAGGATCCGAGCACAAGAGCCCTCTCCCCTCCTGGGGGTTTCCAGCAACTGGTGTTCAAAAGTATTGCCACCTCTGACTGTGCAGGCAGAGCAAGCCATTGTGGCTGGTATTCTTATCCAAAATAGTCACCATGAATTTGTCCAATCCTCTTTTAAAGCCTTCCAAGTTGGTGACCATCCTTGTTTCCTGTGGGAGGGAGTTCCGTAGTTTAACTCTGCACCACATCAAAAAAATTCTTCCTTTCATCCATCCTGATTCTTCCAATATTCGGCTTCATCCTGGCTTGTAGCCATCAGTAGGCTCCTCCTCCATGAATTTCCTGTGGCATATTCTCTGTCCTTCTGGGGAAGAGAACTCCTTCCCTTGTTTTGCTCACTCTGTGCCCTTTAACAAACAAAGCCAGTGATGGCAATGAACTCACAACCTAATCTGAAAGTTTAATTGGCAATGGGTGATGCCTGCAATGAGCCATTTGTTTTGCTCTGTTGAGCTAAAGCCACCCAGCTAGCTCGTTCCCAGATTGCTCCCCTGCGTGCTTCCGGAGGAAATAATAGAATCATAGAATTGTGGAGTTGGAAGAGATCCTAAGGGTCATTTAATCCAATCTCCTGCAAGGCTGAAGTCTCAACTAAAGCATCCATGACAGATGGCCACCTGATCTCTGCTTCAATACCTCCACTGAAGGAGAGTCCACCTTCTGAGAGAGCCCGTCTCACTGTCGAATGGCTCTTACTGTCAGAAAGCTCATCCTGATGTTTAGGCGGACCCTCCTTTCTCGTAACTTGAATCCATTAGTTAATTTCTATTCCACCTTTCCATTAATCCTCACAACAACCTTGTAAGGTAGGTTAGGCTAAAAGTGAGTGACTGGCCCCCACGGCCACCCAGTGAGCTTCCTGGCTGAGTGGGGATTTGAACCCTGGTATCCTATGTCCTAAGGGATGTGGGTAGCGCTGTGGGTTAAACCACAGAGCCTAGGACTTGCCGATCAGAAGGCCGGCAGTTCGAATGCCCGTGATGGGGTGAGCTCCCGTTGCTCGGTCCCTTCTCCTGCCAAGCTAGCAGTTCGAAAGCACGGCAAAAAGTGCAAGTAGATAAATAGGTACCGCTCCGGTGGGAAAGTAAACGGTGTTTCCATGCGCTGCTCTGGTTCGCCAGAAGCGGCTTAGTCATGCTGGCCACATGACCCGGAAGCTGTACGCTGGCTCCTTCGGCCAATAAAGCGAGATGAGCGCTGCAACCCCAGAGTCATCCGCAACTGGACTTAATGGTCAGGGGTCCCTTTACCTTTACCTATCCTAGGTCCTGGCCCGACACTCGATCCACTACACCACATGGCTCTCCAGAGCAGGAGAAAACAAGCTTGCTCCATCTTCCATGTGACAGCCCCTCAGATATTTGAAGATGGCTATCATATCGCCTCTCAATCTCCTCTTTTGCAGCTCCTTCAACCACTCCTCATAAGGCTTGGTTTCCAGACCCTTGATCATCCTGGTGGCCCTCCTATGCACACATTCCAGCTTGTCAATATCCTTCTTAAATTTTGGTGCACAGAACTGGACACAGTATTTGAAATATACTCAGAGTCGCAAAGTGATTTCATGCTCTTTATTCAGCTCATAGTGGTGAGGAGGAAATGAATGAATGTCCCCTCACAGTATCTGCTTTATATACATTATTTACACAATGGGCTGCACATGATTGGCTAATTCCGGAATTCTACTGTAAGCCAATCAGGTTGTGGATTCACTTCTATCTGGAGCAGGATTGGGTGGTTCCTGCCAACCAATCATACTGCTGCATTGTTCTAGGACCAATCAGACTGCTGCATTCTGAATCCTATTGTTCTAGGACCAATCAGACTGCTGCATTTTGGATCCTATTGTTCTAGGACCAATCAGACTGCTGCAGTTTGGATCCTATTCAACTCAGTACATAACACCCCTCCCTCTAAGTTCCATTCCTGCCCGGGAGGTCGCATTCATAGTCCTCAAGGTACGCCGGCGGCCTACGTGTGCGTTGTGGCCTGGGGTGTTCCCTGGTCCGGGCTCCAGGTTCTGGCTCGTGTTCCAAGAATGCTGGCTGTGATGGGGCTGTTTGGTCTGGTGCAACCGGCTCGCTCAGTCGTGGTTCTGGTTCCGGTGTCCTTTCGGCCTCACGGGTCCTCTCTGTATTTACTGATTCTGCCTCTCCTGCTGGCCCCTCCTGCTCTATGGGCCTCACTGCCCCGCTGTTCCCTTGGGACTCCTCTGACCTGTCCTCCTCCTGGCTTTCTCCCGGGAATCGTCGCCGTATCTGGTCGCAGTGGCGGCGCCAGCATTGCCCCCATCCGTTAGCACCTCGTACGACACGGGGCCAGTGACCCTGGTGACTGTGGCGGGTACCCATGCTGGGCCTGCCCCAAAATTCTTTGCGTACACTGGGTCCTGGGCCTCGAAGGTCCGGGGGTTCCTGCCTTCCCCCACCACTACCTCATCCTGAGCTCTATCGGGGTGAAGGCGGTCCAATCTGATTGCAAGACGCCAACCCATTAGTAGTTCAGCGGGGCTCCGGCCAGTCGTTGAACTGGGGGTGCTGTGCTGTGCTAGAAGGAATGTGGCAAGGTGGTACTCCCAATCCCCTTGCGTCATGCGGCGAAGGGTGTCCTTGGTGGTCCGCACCATGCGTTCTGCTTGGCCATTGGTGGCAGGGGTGGAACGGCGCCGAACGGATGTGGCGGATGGCGTTCTGCGCTGTGAAGGTTTGGAATTCTCCTGACGTAAATGCAGTCCCGTTGTCTGAGACGAGAGTGTCAGGGAGCCCGTGGGTTGCAAACAGCCTGCGTAGTACCCTGATGGCTGCGGACGTGGAAGTGGACGGTACCAGTGCGACTTCCAGCCATTTGGTGTAGGAGTCCACCACTATGAAGAATGTTGTAACCAGAAAGGGGCCAGCGAAATCCACATGCAGGCGTGACCATGGTGCTCGGGCGGACTCCCAGGACTGGACTGGGGCCCTTGGGGGATCTGGGCGGGATTCTTGGCAGGCCTGGCAGTGTTTGACCCAGGCCTCTATCTCTCCATCGATCCCCGGCCACCACACATAACTCCTGGCAAGGGCCTTCATTCTTACTACCCCTGGATGTGTCTCGTGTAGGGCTGTGAGGACCCTTTTGCGGAGGGGCTGGGGAACAACGACTCTGCTTCCCCATAACAGGCACCCCTTGTGGGCCGACAGTTCATGTTTGCGGGTTGTGTAGCCGACGAATTCTGGCCCAGGGCTGCTGCTGGGCCATCCCCTCCAGGACCCGGGAGATGACCCTATCTTTCTTGGAATGGTGTGCAACTTCTTGTGCCTGAATGGGGCGGTCGGGAAGCAGCTCCAGGCTCATAACCTCTTGTGCAGGTGCTGGGTCAGGGCCTGTTTCTGGTAGTGGTAGCCTGCTGAGGGCGTCCGCATGGCCCATCGCCTTCCCAGGTCGGTGAATCAGTGCATACTGGTAGCTGGCAAGGAAAATTGACCACCTGAGGACGCGAGGAGACAGCACTTGGGGGGTCTGCTTTTCAGGGGCAAACAAGCCAAGCAACGGCTTGTGGTCAGTCACCACGGTGAAGGGCCGCCCGTACAAGAAATCATGGAATTTTTTTACTCCCTTCACGATTGCCAGACCCTCCTTGTCGATTTGCGAGTAGTTCCGCTCGGTTGCGTTGAGTGTCTGGGAAAAGTACGCCACCGGTACCTCTCTTCCATCCGGGAGTTGGTGCCCCAGGACAGCGCCAATGCCATAGGGTGAGGCGTCGCATGCTAGCACCACTGGCAGCCTCTCGTCGAAGTGTGCCAAGACCGAGTTTGAGACAAGCAAGTCCTTTACTGCCTGGAATGCGGCCTCCTGGCGCTGGCCCCACACCCAAGGGGCCCGCTTGTCCAGGAGTCTGTGTAGGGGCTCCGCTACCGCCGCCTTGTGGGGAAGGAAGGAATGGTAAAGTTCAATAGTCCCAAGAAGGCCTGAAGTTCAGTCTTGCTCTTGGGCGCTGGGGCATCACAAATGGCCCGTACCTTGTCCCCAGTCGGGTGGACCCCTTCTGCGTCCACCATAAATCCCAGAAAGTCCACCTGAGGCACTCCTAGTAGACATTTTTCCCGCTTCACCTTGAGACCCGCCGTCTGGAAACGGTGCAGAACGGTGCGGAGGCGGTCCTCAAACTCCTCTGGTGTGGGCCCGGCAATCAACACATCATCGAAGAAGGGGTGACGCCAGGAATCCCTTTAAGGAGAGAGTCCATTAGATTCTGGAATATGCCTGGTGCCACACTGACACCGAATTGCAGCCGCTTTACCCTGAACGCTCCTCTGTGCGTCACAATCGTCTGTGCCTCTGCTGTGGCCTCATCTACTGGCAGCTGTTGATATGCTTGGGCCAAGTCCAGCTTGCCAAAATTTTCGACCCAGCCAGGGTGGCAAGGACATGGCTGACCACTGGCACTGGGTATGCGTGGGCCGTGAGGGCCTTGTTTATGGTACATTTGTAGTCTGCGCAGATGCGGACCGAACCATTAGGCTTGACGGGTGTGACGATTGGGGTTTCCCAGGGGCATTAGGCACCGGCTCCAGCACTCCTTGCTCCACGAGTCGGTCCAATTCCTCGTCTATACGGGGTTTCAAGGCGAACGGGACCCGGCGGGCCTTGAGCCTGACCGGTCGTACTGCGGGGTCAAGCTGTAGCGCAATGGGGGCCCGTATACTGTCCCAATTTCCCATCGAAAACCCCTGGAAATTCCTTGCATATGGCGTCCACGTCCACTTGTAAGCTAGTGTGGTTCACCCCGGTGACAGCTAGCCCCAGTGGTCCAAACCATGCCAATCCCAGTAAGCTAATGTAGGGGCCCTTGACCACAAGCAAGTCCAGTTGCCGCGTGCGCCCTCTGTATTGCACCCTGAAGGTCCCCACCCCCATTGTGGGGACCTTACGTTTCTGGAAGTCCCGTAGGGTGAATGGGGCCGGCCTGAGTTTGGGACCCCCAGTAGGACACAGTTTCCTTAAGGTCCTTGCTGAGATTATGGATAGAGTTGAACCCATGTCAAGCTCCATGCGGCATCTGTACCTCTGCATAAATTTTCTCTACGTTGGGGTGGGGCAACTGGTATACCTGGCAGTCCGTGAGCTCCGTCGAGTTGCCTTGGTGCGTTGGGCCCCGGGACCTGGGGCTCTTGGATTGGTCATCTGATGCCTGGTGTCGGGTGGGCCGAGCCCGACACACCCGGGCGATGTGTCCCGATTTTCTGCACTGCCTGCACTCTGCGTTGCGGAAACGGCAGGTCCTCCTCTCGTGACTCTCCCCGCAGCTTGCGCAGTTCCCTCCTTCTCGTCGAGGCAGCTGTGGTCTGTGCGCTGCTTGAGTGCGCTGCTGTACTCGGTGCACCTCCTCCCTGTCGGATCCTGAGTCGTCGGTGAGGTCTTCGTGGTGGACCCTCGGTTGGGATGGCAGGCTCGGCCGTGCCTCTTGCGTCGACCTCTCGGCAGCTTCTGCTGCCAGGGCCTCCTCCAGAGCGACCTGGAACGTTAGGTCCTTCTTAGCGTAGAGGCGTCGTTGCAGCTTCTCATCCTTCAGGCCACCGACGAGGCGGTCACGAAGCATGTTCTCCAGCTCTGAGAAGTTGCAGAACCGGGCGGCTTGGCGGAGCGAGGTCACAAACCCAGTTATGGTTTCCCAGGAGCTTGCCGCTGTGCGTAGAAGGCATTTCGACGAGCCACCACTGAGGGCTGCGGCGAAAAGTGCCCCTTCAGCTGTTCCATTATTGTTTTGTATGGAACAGTAGCGACGTCTTCAGGCGCAAGGAGAGCCCGGGCGATTTCAAACGTCTCCTCTCCGCAGACGCTGAAGAATATCGCCCTCTTCTTGGCGTCTTCTTCGTCGGTGACCCCTTTGGCTTCTAGGAGGAAGGTGAAACGGGAGGCGTACGCTTCCCAGTCTCCAGATGCTGGGTTGAATGGCGAGAAGCTGCTGTCGGTTGCCATTCTGAGTTCCTTGTGTCCCGGAGCTGAAGCCTGGATACACAGTGTGAGGCAGCGGTGCGGCAGGTGGCGGTGCTGCGGTGCTGTGTGTGGCAGTCAGCTCAGCGGGATCCCATCCTCGTCGCCAGTGAAATATACTCAGAGTCGCAAAGTGATTTCATGCTCTTTATTCAGCTCATAGTGGTGAGGAGGAAATGAATGAATGTCCCCTCACAGTATCTGCTTTATATACATTATTTACACAATGGGCTGCACATGATTGGCTAATCCGGAATTCTACTGTAAGCCAATCAGGTTGTGGATTCACTTCTATCTGGAGCAGGATTGGGTGGTTCCTGCCAACCAATCATACTGCTGCATTGTTCTAGGACCAATCAGACTGTTGCATTCTGAATCCTATTGTTCTAGGACCAATCAGACTGCTGCATTTTGGATCCTATTGTTCTAGGACCAATCAGACTGCTGCAGTTTGGATCCTATTCAACTCAGTACATAACAGTATTCCAGCTGTTGTCTAACCAAGGCAGAATAGTTACAGGTAGGTAGCCATGTTGGTCTGCCATAGTCAAAACAAAATAAAAAAATAGAGACATTGGATTCTTATCTCATTATACATGATATAGCTATTTTTAGCCATCTCACCCCTTGCTTTTTCCTGTAAGACCAACTGCAGTCATTAACAGTCGTCAACAGGTTTACCACACCTATCAGCCAATCACCCATTCCTGCCACCCTTCTGAGTAATACCCCTCCCCACCCTCTCACTATATATAAGGGTCTGGTGACTTCTGTTTCAGTGTATCTGAAGTGTGCATGCGCACGAAAGCTCATACCAATAACAAACTTAGCTGGTCTCTAACGTGCTACACTCCTGCCAACCTAGCAGTTCGAAAGCACGTCAAACTGCAAGTAGATAAATAGGTACCGCTCCGGCGGGAAGGTAAATGGCGTTTCCGTGTGCTGCTCTGGTTCGCCAGAAGCGGCTTTGTCATGCTGGCCACATGACCCGGAAGCTGTCTGCGGACAAACGCCAGCTCCCTCGGCCAATAAAGCGAGATGAGCGCCGCAACCCCAGAGCCGGTCACGACTGGACCTAATGGTCAGGGGTCCCTTTACCTTTAAGGTGCTACTGGAAGGAATTTTTAAATTTTGTTTCGACCAAGGCAGAATAGTGTGGTAATATTACTTCTCTTGATACAGCCTATACAGTAATAGCATCCGCACCCCCCGCCCACACTCACTGCTGCTTCCCCTGTTGACTCATGTTACACTTGTGGTCTACTAAGACCCCAGATGCGTTTCATATGTACTACTGGCAAGACAGGTATCCCCATCTTATATTTGTGCAGCTAGTTCTTTCTGCCTAAGTGCAGAAACTTACATTTGTCCCTACTGAAACTCATTTTGTTAGTTTGGGTCCAGTTCTCCAATCTGTTATGGTCATCTTGATTTTGTCTTCTGCAGCGTTAGCTACCCCTCCCAGTTTGGTGTCATCTGCAGATATGATGAGCACCCCCTCAATTCCTTCCTCCAAGTCAATTATAAAGAGGTTGAACAACAATGGGCCCAGAACAGAACCCTGAGCCACCCCACTTGTCACTTTTCCCCAGGTTGAGAAGCAATCATTAGTGAGTGCTTTTTGGGTTCGGTAAGTCAACCAGCTACAAATCCACCTAACAGTTATCTCATCCAGCCCACATCTTACCAGCAAGAATATAATGGGGGACTTTGTAAAAAAAGCCTTACTGAAATCAAGATGTGCTATGTCCACAACATTCCCCTGATCCACCAAGCTTGTAGTTCTATCAAAAGAAGAAACAAGATTCATCCAGCCCCCTGCCATTTTGCCATTAAAACAACAACTTTATGATGTGGAGAGCGGTTTGACAGTGAAACAGACTCCTTTGGAAGATGGCAGGCTCTTATTCCTTGGAGGTTTTTAAAACAGAGGCTGGATGTTAATCTGTCAGAGATGCTTCTGTTGTGGCTCCTGCATAGCAGCAGGGGCCTGGATTCAATGACCCTTCATCTCTCTTCCAATTGTACGGTTCTACGTTTCTAAGATTTTGCTGCCCCACCGACAGTGCTTGAACCCCGCCCCAATTCTCTAGTTTGCCGTGAATTTAAGACATGAAGTTGGTATTATCTGAACAATTGGCTTATTTGGGCGGCTGTATTATGGTCTGAAATGAATGCTTTTTAATGTTAGTGATGCATCGATGGGTGCTTTTGCTGTTGCACAATCCCCCTAGCTGTCATTGGGCAGTAGTCAATTCTGTTTGACTCAGAATAGACCTATTGAAATTAAAGGACCCAACTTACTTATTGATTGCGTTTCTACTACTCATTTCCTCAAGAGATTCAAGGGGTTGTGCCCAGGTTTCTAATCTCTTTTAAGCCCCACAACAAACCTGCAAAGTAGGTTAGGCTGAGTGGCAGAGACTGGTTCCCAGCAAGCACCATCACTGTATGGCTGATCTATTGTTGGTCTGGGGGTGAGCCTGGCTTAATAAAATAATAAATAATAAATAATATTTTAATTTCTTTTCCACCCATCCGGTTGGGTTTCCCCAGCCACTTTCATATATGCTTATAGTATATATAAAAATACAACAATTCAGACAGATATTCCCAAGTGTCAAAAAAGGTTATTTATGTGTGCCACTACTGCGGCCCCTGTTTTGGTAGCCCCAAAATGGAAAATGAGCAAGGTCCCAACTAAAGAAGAATGGCAACTTCAGCTGACGGAATATGTGCAGCTTGCAGGCTTAACATATAGAATAAATGTCCAAACTTTTTTCAAAGAGGGCCAGATTTGATGAAGTGAAGGGCCGTGAGGGCTGACCAAAACCAACGTTGTCGAGCTTTTTTTAGGGTTAGAGTTGTTGAGGTTTCTTTAGGATTTTACCCCAGGAAATAAACATGGGGGCTGTTTAGGACATGCCTGGAATAAGATAACCAGATTAGGACATGCCTGGAATAAGATAACAAGGAGGACCTAGGTTATGAGAATGTTGAAAAATGTTTATTGAATATATACAGAAAAATTGTGTGCACTTGGAAACATTGGCAGTGAAAATGGGTTTTGATGGATGCAATAATGGAATACTGAATGGTTTAGTTTATGTAAAATATGCATGGATTTATGATATGCAAAATGAACCATGGAAAGAGGAGAAGGGAAGTCATTTATATTTTAAGGATGTTTAAATGAGTATTCAAAATGGTAAAACAGAAAATTTAATAAAAATGTGTGTATATATATATATGCACACACAATCACACCAAACATCAAACAGAATATCCTATACAAGCAACAAACAAACCAATAAATCAATAGAAACCAATAATAATAACAATAAACAGTTTACAGTTATACCCAAATAGGTGGGTGATCATTAGATGTTCTGAAAACTCTTCCTCAATTTGACACACACACACACACACACACACACACACACACACAGGTCAAAACAGGGCACATGGCCCTCTGGCTGAAAACTTTCAGCCACCCTTGCCTTTCCTGTCAAAGTCTATGTGAGAATGAGTTAATCCTTTGTGGAATGGCGGAGGCATACCCTCTGCTGCAGCTGAACTTCAGTTGCCCTTGGGCACCTCTGTAAGATATCTAGCCTCATCTGGAGGAGTCTGACTTCCCAATCAGCCCAACAGCAACACAAGCTGAGCAATCCCAAGGGACCTGGCCACCCATGGCACATGAAGAAAAAACCGCTGACTCAACAGCCACCACCTGCCACAAGGCCAGAGGTTGGGCGGCGCTGGACCTAACTGGTTGAATCTTCCTCCCAGACGTCAGGCACACAAAGGGCAGCTCACAAGCAGCCTCTCTGACCCATACAAGTGGGGCGCTCAGGCACCCCCCATCCTCTGCTCCATTTGATGATGGCAATTTCAATAAATAATAATATAATTTATTACCCCGCCCATCTGGCTGGGTTTCCCCAGCCACTCTGCCTGGCTTACAACAAATTATTAAAAATACAATAAAAAAAACTTCCCTAAACAGGGCTGCCTTCAGATGTCTTCTAAAAGCCAGATAGTTGTTTATTTCTTTGACATCTAATGGGAGGGCATTCCACAGGGCGGGTGCCACTACTGAAAAAGCCCTCTGCCTGGTTACCTATGGGACGTGGGTGATGCTGTGGGTTAAACCACAGAGCTTAGGACTTGTCGATCAGAAGGTCGGCGGTTCGAATCCCCACAATGGGGTGAGCTCCCGTTGCTCGGTCCCTGCTCCTGCCAACCTAGCAGTTCGAAAGCACGTCAAAGTGCAAGTAGATAAATAGGTACCACTGTGGTGGGAAGGTAAACGGTGTTTCCATGCACTGCTCTGGATCGCCATAAGCGGCTTAGTCATGCTGGCCACATGACCCGGAAGCTGTACGCTGGCTCCCTCGGCCAATAAAGCGAGATGAGCGCTGCAACCCCAGAGTTGGCCACGACTGGACCTAATGGTCAGGGGTCCCTTTACCTTTACCTGGTTACCTATAAATGCATCTACTACTTGATTGTGTACAATAATCCCAACCATCCCGCAATGTGGCTCTGAAAAAAAAAAAGCAATAAAATGTTCTATATGAAAAACTACCAATAAACTTTTAAAATGTTAAAATAGCAATGAATTAAAAGAACAGATTAAAACTCTCACCGGCTTTCTAAGCATCTGGGCAGGATTCTCTAAACAATGTTTTAAGCAGGTGACAAAAAAATTATACTGAAGGGACCTGACTGGTATCAATGGGCAGGGAGTTCCGAAGGGCAGATGCTGCAGCAGTAAACAGTTGAATTCTTATAAATGCAGCATGCAGTATGATATGGCAGCTTTACAATGCCAGTTCCACCCATGGAAGTGGCTCAGTGGGCATATATGGAGTAAGGCGACCTCATAAGTACTGCAAACCAGAGTGACTCCCATCAGTCCTGGCAGCCAGCATGGCCAATGATCATGAATTACTAGGGGAGTTATAGTTCAGCAATATTCAGAGAGCTGCATCCCTGCTTTAGAGGAAGGCAGAGTTAGTTGTAATGGAAGGTAGCTGTGAGGGGCAGTAAAGGCAACTGATGGCCCAGTTCACAAACAGGGAGCCTTTGGCCCTCCAGGTGTTGTTGGACTCCAATTCCCATCGGTCAGAGATGCTTCGCCAGAGATGCTGATGGGATTTGGAGTCCAGCAATCACAGGAAGGCCGCAGGTTCTCCATGACTAGGACGGTGATAAGTAGGGGCAGTAAATGCAAGTGATGGTTTAGTTCAGGGCTGGGAAAGCTGTAGCCCTCCAGATGTTGCTACCTTTGAAGATGACCCGGAAACTACAACTAATCCAGAAAGCGGCAGCTTGATTGGCGACTGGGAGTGGCTGCCGAGACCACATAACACCTACATTGAAAGACCTACATTGGCTCCCAGTACGTTTCCGAGCACAATTCAAAGTGTTGGTGCTGACCTTTAAAGCCCTAAACGGCCTCCGTCCAGTATACCTGAAGGAGCGTCTCCACCTCCATTGTTCTGCCCGGACACTGAGGTCTAGCGCTGAGGGCCTTCTGGCGGTTCCCTCACTGCGAGACGCGAAGTTACAGGGAACCAGGCAGAGGGCCTTCTCGGTAGTGGCGCCCACCCTGTGGAACACCCTCCCATTAGATGTCAAAGAAATAAACAACTATCTGACTTTTAGAAGACATCTGTTTAGGGAAGCTTTTAATGTTTGATGTTTTATCGTGTTTTTAATATTCTGTTGGGAGCTGCCCAGAATGGCTGGGGAAACCCAGCCAGATGGGTGGGGTATGAATAATAAATTATATTATTACTATTATTAAGCTCCCAGTTGCACAACCTCTTGAGGGCCACAGGTTCCCCAGTCTTGTCGTAAACTGAAGAAACCATTCCTGTAAATATGTGGTGTTGTCCCAGCCAGAGAAGTCAGGATGGAACAGGAATCCAGCCTGGGTAGAACGTAAGAACAGGATCAGGCCAGTGGGGCCCCACCTAGTCCAGCCTCCTGTTCTCCCGGTGGCCAAACAGGCAAGGAAACCAGACAAGGATAGGAGCCCGAGAGCAACTCTCCCCTCCTGTGGTTTCTAGCAACTGGTAATCAGAAGAGTTGCTGCTCCGACTGCAGGCCTAGGAAAGCCTCCACTGAGAGCGGCATCCAGCTGGAGCTGAGCTAATCAGTCTGGGCGTGAGCTGGTTGCAGGATAATGAGCGGCAGAGATTGGATGTGCCAGCGATCAGAGCCCGGCATGGGGGATGTGTTGAGACTTGCCAGCTGGGCCTCTTAAGAGGATCTGAATGTGCAGGCATCAGCAGGCAATGACCTGCAGCCACGCTTATCGGGGGCTAGGGTTCTGATCCAGGTTACAGGAGCCTCCCAGGAAAAGGCAGGGTTGCGGGAGGCAGCAGCCTCCAAAGAAATGAAGGTCAAGCAGGGAGAATCGGGGGTCCAGGTCCAATATGAGATCCAGAGGCTGGATCAACACCAGCCCAGGGTCAGTATTGCAAAGGGTGGGCTCAGGAGCGAAAGAGCTGGCCTGTTTTCCGCCGTTAGGAAGCTCAGAAGGGAGACCTTGATTGCTTTGTGGTTCCTGCATTTTGTGTGTGTGTGTTGGGGGTGGGGTGGGTTGGACTAGATGACTCTTGGGGTTCCCTACCAGTTCTATGATTCTGGCCTCCTAACCCACCCCAGTTGCTAGGAGCAAAGGAACCACAAGGACTGCTTGCTCACGAGGAGACCCGTTGCTCACAAGCTGCACAGTGACTCTGCAGCTGTTGGAGCATGATCCATTGTCTTTTTGGCTCAGATCAGATTCGCGTACTTGCAAGATCGCCTTCCCCCATACAAGCCCATTTGTCTGCTTTGATTTGCAAAACTAGCAGCATTGCAGGTGCTACTTATTGCCTGTTCTGCATTTGTAAATAATTGATACAGTTACACTTTGGAACTCCCTGCCTCTTGATGTAAGGCAGAGATGCTCTCGTACGCTTGGAGAGTCAGGAAAAGGTAGACTTGGACCCAGAACGGAGGGGCTGTCTGCACGTACTTAAGGCGCTTCTGCTAGATGTGTTGACGTTTGATGCCTGATCCTTTCTTATCTGGCAACCAAACCCTACACAAACAACACCTTGCTAGCCTACTATGCTTCTACAAGCCACAAGGCTTTTGTTCTAACCTTGCTTTTGTCATGACGCTGGTTGGTTGCTTGGTGAGGGGAGACGAGAGCAAAAAAGAGAGCTTAATTTCTCCTGGTTTGGCAACTTCTGGCCTGCTGGCTCAGGGCCCAATGATGACGACATCTCAGAGGGTTTGGCCTTTGCAGGAAAGGATCCAAGAGGAAGCTGGCACAGACACCCACTCAGCCCTTGGGAAGGGCCCGAGCCCTGAAACTACAAAAACTGGTGCCAGATTCTTGCCTAATCTAAGGAGTGTAATAAGAATCCTAAGGTCTCAAAAATAAAACAAATGTTCGCAAGTGCACAGGTAAACACACAAGTACCTATAAAACACAAGTACCTATAAAAACCACATGTCCGATAGGCTACAGGTAAGCAATCCTTAAGCAATCTTGACTCTCCTAAAGACTCTAAACCAGGCACCCCCAACCTGTGGCCCTCCAGATGTTTTGGCCTACAACTCCCATGATCCCTAGCTAACAGGACCCAGTGGTCAGGGATGATGGGAACTGTAGTCTAAAACATCTGGAGGGCTGAAGATTGGGGGGTGCCTGCTCTAAACCATTGTTTCCCAAACTTGAGTCTCCAGCAGTTTTTGGACTACAATTCCCATCATGCCAAGCTAGCAAGACCAGTGGTCAAGGATGATGGGAATTGTAGTCCAAAATCTGCTGGAGATCCAAGTTGGGGAAACACTGTTCTAAATGTTTCTTCTGCAGCAGGAAATACCTTGGAGAAAGCTTTCCCAATTGTTCTTTCTCTTGCAAATCCTCCAAATCTTGTCTTAAGGGCTTATTTTGTGTATGAACCGGGTTGGCCTATGACCTGGATTCAAGAACTCAGGTATTTGCCATCTCAAAAGAATGGCCAGACTGCCCAGGTAATGCAATCAGTGAAACTTTATCAGGTATCCTGGCAGACAGGAGAGAAGCCACACTCTCAAAGGTCTGTTATAGACTGCCTCTTTCTGTGATGGTTTGAATGATGCTTTTTAGGTGGTCTTTCGTTAAGGGATTGGGCAATTTCAAAAATCTTTAAAGGTTCTTGCACACCTTTGTTCTTGGTCTCTCACCTCCTTGCAAGGAGGTGGGAAACTCTGTTGCAACAGAAAAATAAATATCTGCCTTCCTTGCGTTGCTTCCTGCCTCCATCCTTTTATCTCTGACCGATAATGGACTTGGGGGACACTGAATCCCTTAGGATAGCAGAGTTGGAAGAGACCCTGAGAGTCATTTAGGACAATCCCCTGTAATGCAGGAATCTCAGCTAAAGCTGGAGTTCCAGAGATTAGCTACTGCCACACTAAAAGACTGATTTCTCGCAAGCGAATCCACTTCATTCACAACTTATATCTGTGTGAATAAAAATCATTTGGATATTTTTTTTAAGGGACACTTTTTCACTTTTAAGTAGGAGTGTATAGATGAGCATCTTTGAAGATGACACCTCCAGGCTGCCTTCTAAGATGGCCTGTGGCAATGACTGCTTTTAATATTAAAAAGAAATCCCCTCATTGCCAGGAATCTCATTGGCTGACCTCAAGCCCATCATTACCTTTTGGCCTGGTCTACCTCCTAGGGTTGTTGTGGGGATAAAATGGAGGGAAGGATGGAGATCTCTTTTTAGGAGCAAAATTTAAATGGTAAATGGAATGGGTGCTGTGAATTATCCACTCTCTCTCTTTCAGGGCAGCCCCAAGTGGCGCCACAGTCTTTGATGTCTGGGGAACATCTGGGGTGAACCTCTATATTATCCACAATGGGGAGGTTTTGAAGATCCCCTCTTGTGTGCCCAAATGGCCCCTTGATTGTAAAGTCGAGGTGGTGGTCACGATGGACCAGCCAAGCGCTGAAGTCAACGAGGACAAGGTGAGAAACTCCGATGGCTTTGATGGAGCAGAGGGGGAAAGGAAAGAGCTAGACCTGATTCGGAAAAAGGTGCGCTGGCATTACTGTAGCTATCATTGGAGCAGCTTCTCTGTAAGAAAAGGTTGCCACATTCAGGACTTTTTAACTTTGAGAAAAGGTGAGGAAGAGGTGATCAAGTGCATCTCAAATCACATCTGTTGTCGTCCTTCAGTATACCTGAAGGAGCGTGTCCACCTCCATCGTTCAGCCCGGACACTGAGGTCCAGCTCCGAGGGCCTTCTGGAGGGTCCCTCACTGCGAGAAGTGAGGTTATAAGGGAACCAGGCAGAGGGCCTTTTCGGTGGTGGCACCCACCTTGTGCAATGCCCTCCCATCAGATATCAAGGAAATAAACAACTATCTGACTTTTAGAAGATATCTGAAGGCAGCCCTGTATCGGGACGTATAGGGAGGGTTTTAATGTTTGGTGTTTTATCATGTTTTTAATATTCTGTTGGGAGGTGCCCAGAGTGGCTGGGGAAACCCAGCCAGATGGATAGGGTATTAATTATTAATACAAAATAATAATAAATATTCCATTTGCTGAAATTGGCAATATCTTGACAGGTCAGAATTTCATACTACAAGGACAATGGGAGGACACCAATGGCGAAAGCTCTGCTCCACCTCACCTGCGTGGGTAAGACAGGAACTGTATAGAAAATATAATTTGTGTGTGTGTGTGTGTGTGTGTGTGAGAGAGAGAGAGAGAGAGAGAGAGAGAGAGAGAGAGAGAGAAATCTGGGTGCATAGGGAAAAACAACACAAGCATATTGTGTATTTTTCCTTGGCTTTTGTTGATGGTCAGGGCTGATATGGGTGAACTAGATAATGAGTTCCGGGCTCATGCAGTTAATTAAAGCACCTTTCCCCGCATAGCTACTCACAGTAAAATATTAATACCACATAGACTTACTTCCAGAGGACTAGCACTTTAAAGACAAACAGCTTCATTATGGCAAAAAACTTTCATGGACGACAGTTCGATTCATCAGCTGCATGAAGTTAAACTATGGAACTCAGTCCCACATGAGGCAGTGACAAACACCAGCCTAGATGACTTTAAAAGATTTGACAGATTAGTGGAGGAGAGGGCTATTGATGGCTATGTTCCAGTATTTGGTGACACAGACATCCTGGCATCAGCAAGCCATCTTGCCAGGCTGTTTGGGGATCCCGCATGCCAATTTTCTTATGTTTCCTCTCCTTCTCTCCCCCCCCCCATGCTGCAGAAATCTCCCTGGATGCTGACACGAACCGTTCAGGAACCGTGCAGAGGAGAGCCAAGAATAAGGTCAGGAAGGAGGGATAGGGGAGTCTGGGCATATTGCATGTGTTTATTTATATCCAAAAAGCAAAGGCTGCTTTTCCACCTGAAGGGCCCTTCAAGGCAACAAACCCAAGAGAATTTCAGCAAGGAGGGGGGTGGAGCCTGTGGAGAGGGGGTGTGGCCTAGTGCTGGAGAGAAATCCCGTGGTGGGGTGCATTTTGACCCTGGGCCTTGGGTCCCCTCACAACCCTACCTTAAAACCAACCTGTTCCTTCTGTAGTTGTGAGATACAAGTACAGTCATACCTCAGGTTAAAGTAGCTTCAAGTTAAGTATTTTCGGGTTGCGCTCCGTGGCGATCCGGAAGTAACGGAGCGCGTTACTTCCGGGTTTTGCCACTCGCACATGCGCAGACACTCAAAATGACGCCATGCGCATGCGCGGAAGCAGCAAAACGTGTCCCGCGCAGATGCGCAGACGCGTGTTATGTTTACTTCAGGATGCGAACGGATCCCGTTTGTATCCCGAGGTATCACTGTACTGGGTCCCAGGGGCAAACGAAGGCATCGTGACACCCGGTACGGGGCATTGCTACGTAGGGTGCATGTGTGGCATTGTTACGTACAACACATGTGCCATATGTAGCGACACTGCACATGCGCTGTACATAGTGGTTTGCCATCGGCACCGGGATCCTCTGCTCGCAGCTGAAGCCGTGAACGGAGGATCCTCCACATGCAACTGTGGTGGCGCCATGGCTGCTTGCACCGCCGCTGCGGGGTGAGCCCCTGTGGGGTGCTTTCTTGTCACCCCCCCCAGACCTGGCATCTGGGGGGCACCACACACACACACACACACACCCCACACCCCCGTTGCGACGCCACTGTTGGGTCCCACATATTTGTGGTGGTGCTAAGCCTTGTGGTTGATTTTTTCTGCCGCTGCAGAAAAACTGGACGTGGGGACCCGAAGGCAAAGGAGCCATCCTCTTGGTCAATTGCGACAGGGACGAACCTCAAGATGAAATGGACAACGAGGATAAGAAGCTGCAATCGTTTGTGGGTCAGTAACTGACGGATCCAAGGCTACCTAAACGGCCTTGGTCCAGTATACCTGAAGGAGCGTCTCCACCCCCATTGTTCTGCCCGGACACTGAGGTCCAGTGCCGAGGGCCTTCTGGCGGTTCCCTCACTGCGAGAAGCCATGTTACAGGGAAGTTACAGGCAGAGGGCCTTCTCAGTAGTGGCACCCGCCCTGTAGAACGCCCTCCCACTGGATGTAAAAGAGGAAAACCACTACCAGACTTTTAGAAGACATCTGAAGGCAGCCCTGTTTAGGGAAGCTTTTAATGTTTAATAGATTATAGTATTTTAATATTCTGTTGGAAGCTGACCAGAATGGCTGGGGAAACCCAGCCAGATGGGTGGGGTATAAATAATAAATTATTATAATATTATTATTATTATTATACCTTACACTGAGTCAGACTCATGGGGTCTCACTCAGTATTGCTAATTCTGAATGGCAGCAGCTGCTCAGGGCAGGGGGGATGCTTCAGCCTACCTGAGGATGCCAGGAATTGAACCTGGGACCTTCTGCAGCAAGGCAGGCACTCTGCCACTGAGTTGGGGCCCTTCCCTTAAAAAGCAAGATTCTAGTCCTCATCGTTCTGAAGGAAGGGCTTTTTTGAATCGTCTCTTCCCAGCCCTACCTACAGATGCCAGGGATTAAACCTGGGAGATTTTGCACTCATCAATCATGTGTTAGAAACTGAGAGATGAAAGCTAGGAGCTAAACGGCACCTTAAACCTAGGTTATGGCCACAACAGCCGACTGTCTAGGCATGCTTTTTTTATAACAATACAAAGCTGAAGATGAATGAACTGCAGCTAAAATCTTATGTTCATTTTTCACATGGTCTAGTCCTTCCCCTGCCCACCTCTCTAATATTCTTAAGAGGGTCTCTTCTCCAGTCTTCAGAGAGTAGCTGGAAGTGGGGAGGCAGAAAAAGGTCCTCCTTTCCTTCCACTCTGCAATCTGAAATCTTTCTGCACCCAGAGCTAAGAAACTGCTTGCGCTAATGAAATTCCCTGTCGCAAAAATGTGCCGAGAACAATGGGAGTTTCGAACACTGATCCTTCCCCTAAATTAAAGTAAGAATCTCGTCCTCATTGTTCTTAGAATTTGTAGAGTTGCAAAGGGTCTTTTTTGCTGGACTCTTTTGCCCAATGTGGACCTTGAACCCACAACCCTGAAACTGAAAGTCTCCTGCTCTGCTGGCTGAGCTACCCCAGCTCTGAATAAAGATGGTTGATTTAAACTCCATTCAGCTCAGAGCTTTGCTACTGAGCTACAGTCAGTTTCCCTCTGCTTTTCTCTCCAGACCGCAGGGATATGTCACTGATGATCCTGACAACACGTGGGCCTGAGGACATTTTTGAGGATCACCAGCTGGTCCTCCATGTCTCAGCATCTGATGCCGACAAAGTGGGAGTCTTCCATGCTCAGGGTAAGTGTTGTGGGGTTCTCAAGCAGCGGTGGTTCATCTCAGGTGCCAAAATGTCTCGGGCTGGCTCTGATTTGCTGATGGGAGTTGGAGTACAGCAACATCTGGGAAGGTTGCAAGTAGACCATCACTTGCCTTCACTGTCCCTAGCTGCCCCCTTCACAGTTCTGGCTTCTTTTAATGTAGAGATAGGGAACCTGTGACTTCCCCAGAGGCTGTTTCATCAGAGCTGTCATTTTCTCTGACCATTAGCCATGCCGGGCCAGATGGCAGCTGGAGTCTGGCAACATCTGGAGAGCCACAGATGTTCCCCAATATAAATTCAACAGTGTAAATAAATTTTGATGGCTGTAACAATGGATTACTGAATGGTTTGGTTCATGTAAAATATGAAGGGATGTATGGTATGGGATGCGGGTGGCACTGTGGGTTAAACCACAGAGCCTAGGACTTGCCGATCAGAAGGTCAGCGGTTCGAATCCCCGTGATGGGGTGAGCTCCCATTGCTCGGTCCCAGCTCCTGCCAACCTAGCAGTTCGAAAGCACGTCAAATTGCAAGCAGATAAATAGGTACCACTCTGGCAGGAAGGTAAATGACGTTTCTGCGTGCTGCTCTGGTTCACCAGAAGCAGCTTAGTCATGCTGGCCACATGATCTGGAAGCTGTCTGCAGACAAACGCCGGCTCCCTTGGCCTATAGAGCGAGACGAGCGCCACAACCCCAGAGTCGTCTGTGACTGCACCTAACGGTCAGGGGTACCTTTTCCTTTACCTAAATGAATATTTTGAAATGTAATTATATATATTGATGTTCCCCATCCCTACTCTAATTCCTGATATCCTTAGCTCATGTGTGAACGCAACCCCTTGGCGTGAAAGTGGAGATACTATATGTCCTTTTTTGTTACACAAGAAAATCTTTAATTCATCACCATCATAGAATCGGAAGGGACCACAAGGGTCATCTACTCCAACCCCCTGCAATGCAGGAAAGTTTTGCCCAATGTGGGGCTTGAACCCACGACCCTCAGATTAAGAGTCTTGTGCTCTACCAACTGAGCTAATCCAGCCATGTGGCAGTGAGTTCCAGGGGTTTAGTTAATCAAAACCAGTTTATTTGACAGCGATGAAGAGTTTGCTTCCAGAATCAAGCAAGCAAGCAAACGAATGAATGAATGAGGGACAGGCACATGATTTTGTATGAGAAATGACGGGTTTGATTTACAGGGAAAAGAAAGAAACTCAGTCAGCACAAGCACGTCCTAGGTCATGGGAAATCCTCCTATGTGGTGGAACCTTCCTGCGATGAAGAGGAGCACCATTTCTATGTGGAAGGGCTGGCCTTTCCTGACATTGGCTTCTCTGGACTCGTGACATTCCACGCCACTCTGCTAGAGGCCACCGCCAAGGTATGGGCAGCCAAAAAAGGAAATGTGTCAGAAAGGTTACTGGGGTGTTGGATAATTAAGGGCATTAAAAGAGACCTGCAGCTGAATCAGGCCGGGGGTGGGGGAGGCATCCAATCCAGCCTTCTAGCCTCACAGTGACCAACCAGATCCCCAGTGGGAATCCTGCAAGCAGGACCTGAACGGTGGTGTCCCCACTTGGGAATTCCCAGCAGCTGGGATTCAGAAGCATTGCTGCCTCCATCGATACAGGTGGAACATTGCTATTTTGACTAGTATCTGTTGACAGTCTTACCTCCTCCTTGAATTTCTCTGGAGAATAAAACAGCCTATTATTTTGTCTTTTCTTCCTCACCGTAGCCTCCTTTTCTTGTCTTAGGAGAAAACCGGGACTGTAGGGTTTGTTTGTTTTTAAGCCCAGGGTTACTCATTATTTTCACCAGAACATGGCTTGGGGCTCTACATGAGCTGGCAAAATGCAGGGCAAATGTCTTGGCTGCCACAGCAGAATGCAACTACTGCCTGCTTGCCCAAGACCTTATCTCAACCCGTTTGGGCTTGGGCTCATGTTATATTTCTGCAGCTAAATTCAAGATATGAAGCATGCCGTCCTGGTAAGCGCTTAGGCCTAGCATTTTATCCTCCCAATTGTCCTCATTGGAATTTAACCCAAGCTGGCAACCCTCATGGCAGAAAATTCCATGGGGTATGATGATGATGATTTGTTTATTTATGCCCCACCCATCTGGCTGGGTTTCCCCAGGCACTCTGGGTGGCTCCCAACAGAATATTATTATTATTATTAATAATAATAATAGTAATAGTAGTAATAAATAAATAAATAAAGTGATAAAACATCAAAGATAAAAAATTTCCCTGAGGGCTGCCTTCAGATGTCTTTTAAAAGTCAAATAGTGTTTTTTTATTTCCTTGACATCAGATGGGAGGGCATTCCACAGGGTGGGCGCCACTACCGAGAAGGCCCTCTGCCTGGTTCCCTGTAGCTTCACTTCTCACAGAGAGGGAACCGCCAGGAGGCCCATTATTTTGATTTAATTTAATTTAATTTAATTGACTGATTGTGGGATCCCATACAGTGGGGTATTGGGACTGACCTGCTGGAAGAAATATTCCCCACGCCTCCTCTTGGGTACAAGATAAGACGCAACAGCTTCTGTTCATTCTCGGAGGAGTTTTGGTCCTCTAGATTTCGCTAAGCTGGACCATCACTTGCCTTCGCTGCCCCTCCCTGCCTCCATCACAACTCTTCCTATTTATACTGTTGGGATGGGAAATCTGTGACATCCCTGTCCCTCGGGATGCTGCTGGATTGGGGCTCTCCTTTCCCCCCGACCATTAGGCATGCTGTTTCCTGGAGCTGAGACTGTCATGTGCCTGAATAGTTCTGGTTTGAGTCTCTCTTTCCAACCTCTTTCTCAGCTGGCCTCTGCTCTCCTCCACTGCAGGCACTTCCTGAGGCCCCCATTTTTAACGACACTGTTGTCTTCCGCGTCGCTCCGTGGATCATGACCCCCAATACCTTGCAGCCGATAACGGTTTACGTCTGCAGGTGAGAGCTTCTGCAAATAAGTGAACATCACTGTGGCCCAGTGCACAGATGCACAAGCATAGGACTCGTGAATCAGGTGTGCCACTTCAGAGATGGGACACTGATGGTGGTCTGAGGTGAGGCAGGGACTGAGAGCCATGTCAGTGGTCAAAACCAATCAGGATTAGAGGGAAGACTGGAACTCAGGTCTGGAGGTCCAAGACCAGAAATGCCAGAGCTCAGGTAGGCTTCATTGTTCAAGCGAAGTATCACTAGCCTGGGAACATCAGAGAAGCCCTGCAGCTCTCCCTGTCAGTTTGCATTTCTTAGTGCAGAAAGTATTGATCTGATGTGTAGAAATCTTTCCTATTCTACTTAATTCAAGAGGGTTCTGGAAGCTTCTGTGTGAAAGAAACAAGCAGAATGTTCCTGATGTTTGGGTTTATACCAGGGGTCGGCAACTTTTTTCAGCCATGGGCCGGTCCACCATCCCTCAGACCATGTGGTGGGCTGGACTATATTTTGAAAAAAATGATGAACAAATTCCTATGCCCCACAAATAACCCAGAGTTACATTTTAAATTAAAGGACACATTCTACTCATGTAAAAACACGCCGATTCCCAGACCGTCTGCGGGCCAGATTGAGAAGGCGATTGGGCCGCATCTGGCCCACGGGCCTTAGGTTGCCTACCCCTGGGTTATACCTGGAGAGAAGCTGGCTTAAGCTGGTTCTCTTCTCTCTTCTGTCAAGGTCATGTTGACTATAAAATAGGGCCAGAATGAGCCTAGGTTTCACTTTCACTTTCTATCTCTTTTCCTTCTGGTGCGGTGTTTGGTATATACAGTCATATCTCGGGTTACAGATGCTTCAGGTTGCGTTTTTTTTTTGGGTTACGGACTGCCGAAACCCAGAAGTACCGGAATGGGGTTACTTCCGGGTTTCGGCGGTTGCACATGCGCAGACCTGCAGCTGTGGGTTGCGAACGTGCATCCACTGTGTAGTTGTACCTTGGATCCCCAAACGCCTTTCAAGTCAAAAGTTTTGGCTCCCGAAAACCGAAAACTTGGAAGTGAGTGTTCCGGTATGTGAATGTTCTTTGGAAGCCAAACGTCCGACACGGCTTCCACGGCTTCTGATTGGCTGCAAGAGCTTCCTGCAGCGAACTGGAAGCCGTGCCTTGGTTTCTGAATGTTTTGGAAGTCAAACGGACTTCCAGAACAGATTCCATTTGACTTCCGAGGTACGACTGTGGTATGCTTAGTGTTAAGTTTTAGACTTATTATAAGACATTGTAAGCCTGCTGCAACTGGATTTCTTATGGACGGTGCCAATCCTGAATGTAATGTATTTGTGACCATTATACTCATTTGCCTTCAGTAGCAGTAAAGCTCTGCTGAATGAAATGAAATTGCCTCTGGTCTATTTTTGGGAATCCTGCAACGTGTTTAAGTTTTTACTCTGCTAACTATACATTGGGATCTACTCTGGATCAATAGAATTTCAGTGACGCTCCCCACCTGGGATTTCCAGCAACTGAAATTCAGAAGTCTCGGATGGTAGAGTCAGAGCATAGCCATTGTAGCTAATCTTCTTTTGAAGCCTTCCTTTCCTTCTCCTGCTTTGCTGTTCATCGATGCCCATTTTTCTGCATTTTGACATCCAGTATAAAAGGCAACGCAGATTTCGTGGTGGAGATCAGCAAGCTGTCCAAGAAAGCTGGCTGCAGATTGATTATCTGCCCAGAAGCAGAAAATCGAGGTGACCGCTGGATCCAGGTAGGTTGGAGTGTCTGTTTGGGGGGGGCAGGTGGGTGGAAGTGTGAGCAAACTATTACCGTATTTTTCGCTCTATAGGATGCACTTTCCCCCCTCCAAAAATGAAGGGGAAATGTGTGTGCATCCCATGGAGCAAATGTAGCTCCTTGGCTTCAGCGATAGCAACGTGAAGCCTCCGAAGCGCAGAGGGAGCGCTCCCTCCGTGCTCCGGAGGCTTCATGTTGCTTTCGCTGAAGCCTGGAGAGCGAGAGGGCACCGACCCCTCTCGCTCTCCAGGCTTCAGGGATAGCCTCCTGAAGCCTTTGGAGGGCAGCGGGAACTCTGAAGGCTTCGGGTTCCTTTTGCTGAAGCCAGGAGAGCAAGAATCTCCTGGCTTCAGCAGAGAGGGAGAGCTGCACAGCGCCCCTTCAGCCAAGCAGGAGGAGAAATGGAATGGGCTCCGTTTCTCCCTCCGCTTCGCTGAAGGGGTGCTGAGCAGAGAGGGGGAGACTTTTTTTTTCTTGTTCTCCCCCTCTAAAACAAGGTGCATCCTATGGTCGGGTGCGTCCTATAGAGCGAAAAATACAGTATTTGATGTATTTACCATTTATCAGCCTGGCAAAAACAGCCAAGGAAGGTGCAAGGCAGGGTTGTGAAGGGTGCAGCCTGGGGAGCATTCCAAGGGCCAGAGGGGCTTGGGGTTCCTCACCCCTTTCTTCCACACATGTCTTTATTTCTTCCCTGTTTTCTTTGGTGGCACCAGGATGAGATGGAGATCGGCTACACGCAAGCGCCACACAAATCCTTTCCCGTGGTCTTCGACTCCCCTAGAAACAGAGATCTGGATGGCTTCCCCTATAAGGCTGTTCTGGTAGGAACCTCTCTCCCTTTTGTCTTATTTTGTCTTCAAATCGGAACCTTTGAATTTGTTTTTTTTAATGCTGCAATAGTGCAATTTGCATGAACGGTTTGAGTGATAAAGCAGCTCCACAGTTGCACCCCCGCCTGCCTGCCCCTATACTGGTTTGTTATTATATTGTGCATTTTTGCGGGTTTTTAAAATATAACATTTTGTTTTTCATACAATTTGAACAAGTTCCATTCAGTTTCAATACAACGTTCTCTTAACATTTTGACTTCCCATCCTAACTTCCATGTTTCTGTTCAAATCCTTTATCCACTGCCATAAATGTAATACTTAATCTATAACATATATCCTAATTTACATTCCTTTATCATTCTCATTCCTTTGCTTATATTTCCAGTCCCACCTGCCATTTCATTTGACTATAATATTTTCCGAGATAGCCCCCAAAGGGATCTCCACTCTTCAACAAACACATCGTCTTTTGTCTCTCTTAATTTTGCCATCAATTCCGCCATCTCTGTATAGTCTGTTTTTGTGTTTCTACGCTGTAAACCACCCTACAATCATTGGTTGAAGAGTGGTAGAAAAAATGATTGAATGTGTTAGAGACCTGGTAGATTACTGTGGTCTGCAGGATATTCTCTCCTGTGAGTTCCAAAGATCTCGGAAGCCCACTCTGCTGTGATTTAGAGCAGGACCTTCACTGTGGCTGCTCCTTTTATCTGGAGTAGTCTTCCTCCCCACTGGATCTGCCCTTTCCGGAAACCATGGAAGACATTTTTGTTCCAACAGCCTTTCCCAGCTGGATAAATGCATACTTACCATGAGCGTCCACTTATTAGGGTTTTAGGCTTGTTTCAAACGTATCTTTTAATGTTTAATGCTTTTATTATTTAACAAACCACTGTATTTTAATACTTTGTTGGAAGCCGCCCAGAGTGGCTGGGGAAACCCAGCCAGATGGGCAGGGTATAAATAATAAATTATTATTATTATCTGCTGTTTTGTTTTTAAACTTTGGCTTTTTTGCTGTTTCTGAAGTGCATTGTCTTGAGAAAATTGCACAGAAGGCGATTAATAAAATGATTAGGATAATGATAACGCATGCATGCATGCATCTACCTGCCTACCTAATCTGTATTGGCCATCTTTTCGCTTCGTGCCATCCACTCTGCAGGATCTGTCTATTGGCAACTGAATTTTGCAGCCGGCCGTACACAATTCAAATCTCCCACACGAGCACCCCTTTTGCATCACTCCACCCTATAGCTTCTGCAATTCAAACGCAACGGACACAAGGTCATTTTCATAGAGGGGCAGCCTTGTCGCCGAGATCACTCCTAATTCTGTTGCCCTTTGCTCCCACCCCAGGGCCCGGATTTTGGCTACGTGACCCGGAAGGCGGAAGGCAAAGGCAACAGCGTCTCCACTTTGGACTCATTTGGGAACCTTGAAGTCAGCCCTCCAGTGACCGTCAGGGGCAAAGAGTACCCCCTGGGGAGGGTCATCATCGGGAGCGCCTTACCCATGTAGGTGGAGAGGGTGTGTGTTGGGGGGGGGGGAGAAAAAGTGCTGGCATGGTGAAGCATCTGGCAAGGACTCGCATGCACAAGCAAGAGCTCTCTGGACTTCCTCCTCGTCGTCTCCCTTTCAGCTTGCTTCTTCACCCATGTCTTACTCTAGTGTGGGAAGGGAGGAGGAGGTACACAGAAAGTTGCTTTATCCTGAGCCATATCATTGCTCAATCTAGGCTGGTCAATCTGGGCTGGTTTTCTTAAAAAAAAGTTTGTTTATACTTTTCGAATTTATACGTTTCATAAATTTTACCATCGTTTTAGCATTTCAAAGTTTGACTTCCTCCCCCCCCCCTTTCTGTGGTTCCTTACATTTATATTTTAAAATCTTCTCCGTATCCAAATTCATTTAATTTTCTCATCTAATTATCTACTCTTATGGAACTGCAGGTTATTACAATAACCCTGCCAATGTTCTTATCTGCTTACAGTTTATCTGTAAATATTCACGAAACCATTTCCATTCTTTTATAAAAAAAAAAGTTATCTTGATTTCTTATTTGTCTGGTAAGTTATGCCATTTCTGCATCTTCCATAAGTTTTTGTATCCATTCTTCCTTTGCTGGGACTTCTGCTTCTTTCCATTTTGGGGCAAGTAACATTCTTGCTTTTTTACAAAAGCTATTCTAAACATCCTTTTCAATTCATTATACAGTGGTACCTCGGGTTACATACGCTTCAGGTTACAGACTCCGCTAACCCAGAAATATTACCTCGGGTTAAGAACTTTGCTTCAGGATGAGAACAGAAATCATGCTCCGGTGGCGCAGCAGCAGCAGGAGGCCCCTTTAGCTAAAGTGGTGCTTCAGGTTAACAGTTTCAGGTTAAGAACAGACCTCCGGAACAAATTAAGTTCTTAACCCAAGGTACCACTGTATATTATTTCCCAGTAAGCTTCAACCTTACTACAAGACCACCACATATGATAAAAAGATAAAACGGTTATTTTTATCATATGTTCTTTTTTTTAAATCTGGGCTGGTTGTAAGGAGGCAGGTGGATAAGAAGTCTGTTGAGAACACTTGGTGTGCCCTGATGAACCAGACACTGGCGGATATGAGATTGGGCTGGGTAGTACTTTCACGGAGGCAAAGTTCTTGCCTTTGGAATGGATGCCAACCCTAAGTAAACTCTGCCTCTCTTTATTTCCTAGGCCTCACGGGGACAAGATGGTCAAAGTCGTGCGGGACTTCCTCTATGCCCAGGAAGTACAATCGCCCATCGAACTGTATTCTGCCTGGCTGCTGGTGGGGCATGTGGACGAGTTCATGTGTTTCGTCCCAGCCTCTGACAGGAAGGTACTGCCATGGATGCAGAGGGATGGTGTGAGGCCATAGCTGTCAACCGTCCTTTATTTGGCGGGGAAGTCCCTTATCCCAGCGCTGTGTCCCGCAGCTGTCCCTTATTGGTGATGTCCTTTAAATTTCCTGGGTTTCAAAGGAAGCAGCTCCTCTCCCTCCCTCCCCTGCCGGCCAGGGAGGAGGGAGGCTCCAACTGTGTTGCTTGGCTGCGTTGCTCACCCAATAAGGAGTCTAAGAACGACTGGGGTGGTGGAGCTTGTATGCCTTGTGCCGATCAAATCAGCCATGTTGCCTGGGGACTCACCTTTGCTCAGCGCTTCCCAGCGGAGAGGTGACAGTGGTTTTCCTTGCTGCATCCCCTTTGCCGGATTGCTGTGCTGTGGGAACCACTGCTTGAGGCTTCGTTTGGCTGCTGGCTGGGCTTTCTGCCTTTGGCTCACAGGGGCTCAGAAGTTGAACATACCTGTGCTCGGAAAATCCCTTATTTCGGCTGCTGATCCCTTTTTTTCGAGGCTGCTGGTCCCTTATTTTCAAATCTGTAAGTTGACAGCTATGTGCAAGGCACTAACTGGAGAAGGGAAGAAGGCTCAGAACCAGGGGATTGGTGGTGGGGTGATGAGTGGTCAGAGGGAGACGATGAAGCAGACTGAGAGGAGGAGGTTTTGGAAGCTGAAGAGACAACAGGGTTTAGTGAGCAGGAAGAGGCTGTGGCAGAGAGCAATCCAGATGCAGAGGCGGGAGAGGAGAGGAACAAGGCAACAGATAAGGCTGGCTGCAGAAGAACCCAGGAAGCCTCCCTCTGCTGCCATGACTGGCTCCTCTCCCCCTTGGTCTCCCAGAACATGAAGAGAAATAAAAACGGCAGAGTAATGAGAAACTAGGTGAAGGAATCTGAGATTACTTGGGAAGGACTCAGGAGAGTGTTGGGGAGTGGTGGGAAGGCTACTTCAATCCTACTGGCAAGTGTTTTTGTGATCGCTGTTTGGGTTTCTTTGAATAAAGAGTTAACGCCCCTGCCAATGGGTGTTTTGTTGCTGACTCCAGCTCCTGACAGGTACACCCTGTCCACTGCTTCCAGCCTTTAAGTGCATTTTAACCTGTTTACTCAGAGGATATTTGTTCCCTCATATTTTGAAACCCGCCCAATCTAAAAGGCAGTGAACAGAAGCTGTTGGCAACATAGGTAATAATGATAATAATAATAATAATGTATTATTTATACCCCACCCGACTGGCTGGGCCTCCCGAGCCACTCTGGCCATTTCCCAGCAGAATATTAAAAACACGCTAAAACATCAAACATTAAAAACTTCCCTATACATGGCTGCTTTCAGATGTTTTCTAGAAGTCAGGTAGCTGTTTATTTCCACAAGGCGGGCGCCACTCCCGAGAAGGCCCTCTGCCTGGTTCCTTGTAACCTCGCTTCTTGCAGGGAGGGAACCGCCAGAAAGCCCTCAGTGTCTGGGCTGAACAATGGGGTGGAGACGCTCCTTCAGGTATACTGGGCTGAGGCCGTTTAGGGCTTTAAAGGTCAGCACCAACACTGAATTGTGCTTGGAAACTTTGGGAGCCAATGTGGGTTTTTCAGGACCGGTGTTATGTGGTCTTGGTGGCTGCTCCCAGTCACCAGTCTAGCTGCCACATTCTGGATTAGTTGTCATTTCTGGGTCACCACTCTGGCAAGACAGTCTGCGGGCAGGTAGGGTCTCAGCCTGCGTACCGATGGAGCTGGTAGGCAGCTGCAGTTCCAGAGGGCACCATGTTGGCTACCCCTGAGCTGCAAGTACATTTTGCAGCCTGTCTCACTTCATTCCCTCTGTTCCTCTCCAGGGTTTCCGCCTGCTTCTGGCCAGCCCCAGTCGCTGCTACAAGCTTCTGAAGGAGAAGGAGCAAGAGGGGTACGGCGATGCCATGATGTTTGATGGTAAGGTGGCTCTCCTTTCTCCTCTGCAGGAGCTGACATGAAGTCTGGGCAGGAAGTTGCATACTTTGCATTAAGGCCCCAAGTAGCTAAACCTCACAACTAAACTACCCCATCTCACTCCAAGGGGTTGTTGTGTTTTGCTCAAAATCAGGGGTGGGGAACCTCAAGCCTGGGGGCCAAATATGGCCCCCCAAAGTCTTATTTACCTGACTCTCATCTGAGCTAAATATTACAGTGCAGTATGGAGCTGAGGACATGTATTTTGAACCAGTAATTTAAGGGGTGGTGGTGGGGAACATAACAGTCATAACATGAATGAAGCAGCCACCTGATTCTTATTACAGGGCTAGGCAAAGACGACAAAGAAATTTCAATAACAACAATCCTGGCTGACAAATCCTTGAGGAGCATCAATGAGTATTACCAGGTAATTGTCACACCCCTTTCCCCCAGATAATGACACATAGTCATTTGGTTATGAACCTGGACACTTTCTAAATGATATTCATTGTGATGGCGAGTCTGACTGACGGATGTTCACCTAGTGAGCTTCATGGCAGAGTGGAGATTTTAATTCTGGCGTCCAGTGTTCTTGAGCCACACCCTAACCGCTATACAATATAGATCCTTTCCTCTGTGCTGGAATAGAAATCTGCAGATCACAGGGAGGCAGCGACAGGCTCCCTGCCCTGTGCTTGTGGGCGACAGGCTCCCTGCCCTGTGCTTGTGGCAGAGAAGTTCCCTGGCACAGACATGCTGTTGCAGATGCACACGAGCTGCAAGGGAATCTGTAAGGGAAAGGGAAATTGTCATTTGAGTTGGGATGAGTTCACGGGGTGTTAGAGACAGGAGCAGCTTTGTGGGGGATGAAGACCCATGAAGTGATAAAGGGAATGGCAGATAAAGAGGAAGTAGGCTGGAAGGGACAAGGATGAAGCCCAGAGGTTCCAAGGAAAGCTTTTGTGGAACTGAGAAAGTCAGGAAGGCTGCATGCTTGGGACTGAGTATGTGTCAGTCTGGTCAAAAGAGACAAGCTAAGGAGAAAGGACCATTGTTCAGTGGTAGAGCACCTGCCTTGCATGTGGGATGTCAAAGGTTCAGTCCCCCATGGCATCTCTAAGTGGGGCATCTGAAAACCCTGGAGAGTCATTGCTGCTAGTCAGTGTAGAGGAAACTGGGCAGTTAGAGGGAATCTGAGAAGGCACAAAAACTGGTGTAGAGACTGAAGTGCCAAGGATCCCACTGTTGGGAAATTGGTGGTATGCTATGGAACAGAAGCTACTGTTTATGTGCAAGGCCACAAACACACACCATGCAATCTGTGGCAGTGTTAGGAAATTCCACCAGGAGCATGACTCTATTGACACACCTGTCAAATCTTTAACTGCATTGTGCCTTCACTTGTAGTGATGCAATGGATTCCTCTCTCTGAGGCATATCTTCTCTCACTTCCTAGAAATGCATTGACTGGAACAGAGACCTCCTCAAAGAGGAGCTGGAACTGGAAGAGGAGGACATCATCGACATCCCCCAGCTCTTCACTCGCTCTTCTTACAGCCCCAGCAAAGCTGTTGCTTACTTCCCGGACATAGTAAGGCTCTGCTCAAAAGGTCCTTTTGTAATGAGCCACCACACATGCCAGACAGATCCCTGGCCACAGATGCGGTTTTCTCCCTAAGGGGCCAGATTTGGCCCACTGGCCTCAAGTGCCCGACACTTCCATGGGGCAAGGGGGTGGCCTGGTTGGCAAGATGCAGCAGTTAGGGCAATGATAGAGAATGTTTGTCATGGAGGTCCTGGGTGCAGCATCTACAAATAGGGTTGCGAATGTTGCTGACAATCTTTGAACTGGATGAATCCAAGGGTCTGATGCTGTGCAAGGTAGCCCCCCCCCCCCAATTCCTGTCTGGAGCTGCTCTTAAAATGACAGCGTCTCCCACCCCACCCCCAATTTTTTTTTTTTTATGTCAACACTTTACTTGGGTACCGTATTTTTCGCTCTATAAGACGCACTTTTTTCCTCCTTAAACGTAAGGGGAAATGTGTGTGCATTTTATGGAGCGAATGCAGGCTGCGCGGCTAAGCCAGAACAAGGAGAGGAAGCGCTGTGCAGCGCTGCGCGCTGTCTTGCTGTTCTAGCTTTGGGCTTAGCTGTGCAAAGCCTCCGCAGGGCAGCGGGGTGCCTTCATCCCTGGGCTGTCCCAGAAGCCTCTGCGGAGGCTTCACTCAAAGCTAGACCAGCTAGAGGGAGCGCTGTGCAGCGCTCTCTCTAGCTATTCTGGCTTTTGGATAGCCCCCGCGAAGCCTCTGTAGGGCAGCAGGACGAAGGCTTCCCGCTGCCCTGCGGAGGTTTCACACGGTTCTTGCGGGAAGGGGGGGAGGGACAGAGTGCGCGGCTCTGTCCCCCCACGTCTCAGAAAAGCCCAAGAACCGTGCTCCCTTTAAAAAGCACGTGGTTCTTGCGGGAGATGGGGGAAGGTACAGAGGGCAGCTTAGAGGGACGCGGGTGGCGCTGTGAGTAAAACCTGAGTGCCTAGGACTTGCCGATCGTATGGTCGGCGGTTCAAATCCCCGCGGCGGGGTGAGCTCCCGCCGTTCGGACCCAGCTCCTGCCCACCTAGCAGTTCAAAAGCACTCTTAAGTGCAAGTAGATAAATAGGTACCGCTTTATAGCGGGAAGGTAAACGGCGTTTCCGTGTGCTGCGCTGGTGCTGGCTCGCCAGCTGCAGCTTCGTCACGCTGGCCACGTGACCCAGAAGTGTCCTCGGACGGCGCCGGCTCACGGCCTCTAGAGCAAGATGAGCACGCAACCCTAGAGTCGGAGACGACTGGCCCGTACGGGCAGGGGTACCTTTACCTTTACAGAGGGCAGCTTACCCGCGCACAGCCACTTCCGGGCAGGGGGAGCCTTCATCCCACTGCCCGGGAGAGGCTTCAGCGGCTATCCCAGAAGCCAGATCTCTCTTGCTGTTCTGGATTCTGAGATTCAGAATTATTATTTTTTGTCCCCCCGCCAAAAAAACTAGGTGCGTCATATCATCGGTGCATCCTATAGAGCGAAAAATATGGTAATTTCCAGTGAGTGGATATTGCGAGGAAGACTCTGGAGCAAAGGGTTATAAATGCCCATAGCAGTTTCAGAGTCCGCTTCTCACAGGCAACCCATGTCTCATTTGCAGGTGAACATGCTTGTCCTGGGAAAATACCTGGGCATCCCAAAGCCCTTTGGACCCATCATCCATGAGCAGTGCTGCTTGGAAGAGGAGGTCCGCCGTCTGCTGGAGCCGCTCGGGCTGTCCTGCACCTTCATAGACGACTACGAAACCTACCACAAGGATCTCGGCGAGGTCCACTGTGGCACCAACGTCCGACGCAAGGCCTTTTCCTTCAAGTGGTGGAACATGACCCCTTGAGCGTGGAGAGATCCACAACCTGCCCTCCTTGCAGGCGAGGAAGATGCCAGGGCAGCTGCTGTGTAGCTTACGCTTAGCTGCAGAATCGTCACTTTCCAAGGAACTGCGTACGGTTCCTGTCTTGCCCAGGACTTTTGATTAACTTCAAGGGCTGAGCTGGTTGCTCACCCTCTTTTTCATGCTCCCAGGTCCACCCACGCATTTCATTTCCCCCGGTATGTTACTCTGCAGTCTGAGCCAGATGAAGAGACCAGGTTTGCTGCTCAGGAACAAGCCAGGCATTCGAGATCACAGATCTCTATCCTGTTATCTTTTAAAGCTGGGATTTTTGGGGAGGACGGAAAGGGGCTTGAGTGCCCGTTTTTAGCGTAAGGCAGGTCAGAGACACAGAGCCAGTTCTAAGTTATGCAGCATGCAATCCTTCAAAGACCCAGGTTTAGGGCCGATGCACAGGGCAGGGGGTCCAAAAATTTCTGTGCCGACGATCTCCCCCCGCCCCCATGGCACTGTGAAGAGGCTCCACCTCTCTAAGCCTTAGCAGAATAAGGAGTGTGAAAAGCATACATTTCTTTGGTTTTTTAAAAAATGAATTGATTATGTAATGGCTGCATTCTATACCTCTATTTTTGATGATTGCAAAAAAAGGCGCGCAAATGTTTTTCGCTTGCATTTTAAGGAGCGTTTGAATAAACTTGTGGAGAAAAGTTGAGCGCTGAGCAGTCTTTTGCTGGATGCTGGTGCTGGGGAGAGGTGGGCTAATTCATACATGATCTTTCGTAATCCTCTAGATCAGCCATTCTCAACCTGTGGGTCGTCAGATGTTCGGCAAGTTACACTGTGGAACTCCCTCCTACAGTGCTGTTACGTGCATAAGGCTCTAGGCAATGTTGTCGTTTATTTAAACATTTATTTTGAGAAATATATATAAAAAACCCCCCAAAAACCAGAGGAGTTACATGACTAGGCTAGGAACTTACCCCACCAGATTTAAACCCAAAATTCTTTGTTTTATCACTGAGCCCTTCCTCCACAATGAAGAGAGAATGGGGACAAGAAGGGACCAGAGAGGGAGACACTAGAACAGGTGAACTGCCTAGGTCTGGAAGCAAAAAGCCTGTTTATTTTTTTTTTAAATTAAACAACAGAGTAATGTCACTCTTTGCTGCAGAGGGAGGGTCTGTTTCCTCTTTCTCCCCCCCCCCAATTGCAAATACGTTATCCCCAAAGTTTTGTTCCAGTTAGGTTTCTCCTCAAAATGTCCTTATGTACCACACACATCCCTGCAGCTCCAGAAACGGAACCACTTTTTTGCACAGGTGAAAAAGGCCATGAAAGAAAATCTCTTCTGGATGAGGTACGTAACTTGACTAGACAGACAAACAGGAATGGAGACAATAGCAAACGCTTCAGGTGTAGGTTTAGATCCAATTTTTTTTCCTTAAAATAAAAAAGACAAATAATAATGCAATGTACAGCCCCTATTTCTTCCCCGCCCTCCCCCCCAAAAAACAGTAACTTTAGGGTTGCTCCCTTTAACCCAGCATCCCGGAAAAGCCCCCAACCTTTTCAAGAACTCCGAACCTGCAAATGTTAACGTGGTATGGGGCTAACGTCGCCCATCTGGGAGGACCCCCCATTCCTCCCAAAGCAATCAGAGAGCTAGCAGATTCAAGGGAAGGGAAGGGGGGGGGGAGAGAAGGGACCTACTGCTAGAAAAAAAGGGAGTTCATGCTGGGACAGAGAGGAGGCAAGTTCTGTTTCAAAGGCACCAAAATTTCTTCAACACAACACACGGCCGCAGAAGGGAGAAGGAACTAATAGACTTGTAACAGGAATCCGGGGGCCAACTAATATTTCATCGAGGAGGCTGAGCGGTTCTTTTAAGTCGTCCCAAAGCACCATTGCATAACTGTGAACCCCACCACCCCACCCAAGGCGCCTAAAACCTGGAACTGTAGCCATTTTAAATGGGGGGGGGGGCCGAAGCCTATGGGCATCTGCAACGTACATGAGGGACACCCTTGCAACTTGCACCAGCTGCAAGCGTGGCCCTGATTTTTTTTGGAGGGGGGGGATAAACTCCCTCTCCCTTGCCAGAAGGATCCATGAGGCTCACATGGAATTTGGTTAAGAAGAGTGGAAATAGTGGAGTGAGTGGGAGAAGGAAGGAGATTCCTTCCATCCAAGTAGCTGAATCAGGAATTTAAATTCTCTATCAACTCAATTTTATCCCCAATTCAAACCAAGGGTCGATCTTCCTGCTTCTCCCCCCCCCCCCCCATTCCTGGGGCTCTGCAAATAAATTCAACCATTCGCTAGGAGGCTGCCGAATCTGACAGCGCCCCCGTGTGGTGGACTGGCCTGGTATTTATAACAGCCCCAAGACAGGAGCAGTCAGCTGAGGTGCCTTTTGGAATTCTTGACTACAATTCCCATCGCTTCTGGCCACTGGCCATGCTGTCTTGGGCTGATGGGGGTTGCAGCCCGCAGCGCCATCAGAGGGTTCCCCACTCCCCTGTTTTAGCAGGTGGGGAGCTTATGAAAATCTGCAGTACGGGAGGCACCTCATCAACAGAAAAATCTACGTAATTAAGAAAAAAACCTTTTGCAGAAGTCTCGAGCTTGTGGAAATCTGTAGTGCAGCAGGCACCCTTTAAAAAAAAAATCTGAGATACTTTAAGGACCGCCTCCTTGCAGAGACCTCGAGGTTTCTTGGGAACAAAAAATATATATATACAAGAAAGATGGTCCCTTCCACAAAGGAGGAAATCGTTTCCAGCTGCAGGGGAGGGGGGGGGGGAAGAAGGGTTAGCCTTCACCCTTCTCAAAACGCTGGTTACTGGTCTGCCGCTTAACAAAATATCGGCTATGGGAAAGGAAAACAGAAAAAATGGGCGAATTTGGACAAACAGTCCTGCCATTTTCATCAAAATTCAAAAGAAGCAGATCTCTCTTGATGTAATGTCCCACCTCCATGCCCCCCCCCCAAAGAAACCAAAATACAAAGCAACCTGTCTTAGGGAAAAGGGCAGGGTGGGCGGGGAAGTCAATGTTAACTGGTAGCTGGAAGCTTCAAATTGCTTATCAAATACGAAATCTTGGGTAGCCTAAGGAGACGAGTGCCGGTGCCTGCAATCTCCCCATCGCGTACGGATCCCATGTCCCCATTGCACACGACGGGAGCAGCGACTGCCTTGTCAGGGGGTGTGGGGCGGCGGGGAGGAGGAGGAGGAAGAGGCCCCCGCGTGGGTCAGAGCGTGCGCGGGTTGTACTCTGGCAGCTTCTTCAGCTTCTCGTTCTCGGCCTCGCTCTCGTCGCGGGCAATCGCCAGGGAGTGGGCATAGCCCATCGCCACCTGAGCAAAGCGAAAAAAGACAGCGCAGGGGTGTTAGGAAGATCCAAAGTTGGGGGTATCTAGTCCGGCCTCCTCCTGTTCTCAAGAGCGGCCAGCCAGAGGCCACACAAAGCCGAGCCCGCAAACAGGACCCTCAGAAACAGCACCCACACCTTGCTGGGAACTTCGTTTGTGTGTATAGCTCTTGCTTATGCTGTTTGCTTAGACACGAAGGGGAGCAGACATGTTTTTCCTTTGTCCTGATGCTGAATAAAATGCCTGTAAATACGCTTTAAAGATAAAGGGACCCCTGACCATTAGGTCCAGTCGCGGCCGACTCTGGGGTTGCGGCGCTCATCTTGCTTTATTGGCCGAGGGAGCCGGCATACAGCTTCCGGGTCACGTGGCCAGCAGGACTAAGCCGCTTCTGGCAAACCAGAGCAGCGCACGGAAATGCCGTTTACCTTCCCGCCGGAGTGGTACCTATTTATCTACTTGCACTTTGACGTGCTTTTGAACTGCTGGGTTGGCAGGAGCAGGGACTGAGCAATGGGAGCTCACCCCATCGCGGGGATTCGAACCGCTGACCTTCTGATCGGCAAGTCCTAGGCTCTGTGGTTTAACCCACAGCGCCACCCGTGTCCCTAAATACACTTTACACAGCCTCTAATATGCACAGAGTTCTTATCTCTGCTGGCTTGCATGCTCAGCTTCTGAAGGTTTCAGAAGCTTGGGTCGCAGATACATGCTGATCCGAGGACCGGAGTTCGCCCGGCTGCTGTCCGGTGGGCTGGAGCCAGCTGGGGGCCTGCCAATTGCCCCCGTTCCCTTGGACACATCCCAACAAGAACATGGCCTTATTTTGCTCCATGAATTGGTCTAACCCTCTTTTAATGTGATCCACGTTGGTGGTCATCGGCAACCCTCCCTCCCACAAGATGCAACGACAGTCACCGACTAGGATTACCGCACTGGCCCGAATATAAGCTGCGCCTGCAAATAAGCCGCGCCTTTAAAATTCAAGGATTATTTGCGGGTATGGCCCACCTCCCGACACTACCACCTGAGCGGGGTGGGGAGGCAGCAGGCAGCACTCAGTTCCGAGTGTGCTGCGCGCCCGTCTCCAGGCACTACCTCCCCAAGCTGGCACTGGGGCAGGCTGGGGAGCGGAGGGCTGTGTGCCGTTGCCCTGTGCTGTTTCTTGGGAGAGGGGGAGCTGCGCTCCTTTGCTGTTGGCCTCCCCCCTTCCCCTTTGCGGCACGCGGTTGGGATGGGCACCGTTGTCCCGCACCCCCGACAGCCCTCGAATATACCGTATTTTTCGCTCTATAAGACGCATCAGACCATAAGATGCACGTAGTTTTTGGAGGAGGAAAACAAGAAAAAAAATATTCTGAATCCCAGAAGCCAGAACAGCAAGAGGGATCACTGTGCAGTGAAAGCAGCAATCCCTCTTGCTGTTCTGGCTTCTGGGATAGCTGCGCAGCCTGCATTCGCTCCATAAGACGCACACACATTTCCCCTTACTTTTTAGGAGGGAAAAAGTGAGTCTTATAGAGCAAAAAATACGGTAAGTTGCACTTTAACTTTTCACAACTGGAATTTGGAAAAAAGTGTGGCTTATATTCAGGCCAATACGGTAGATTGGGGCAGGGGGGTTGGTTGCCAGGCCAGGACACATACCCCACCGCCTTTTTGAGGACCCAAGAAACTTTCAGAAGGAGGTTTGGAAGCACGAGGTGCTTCAAGGTGGTTCCTGGCTGCCGCTACCTGTTCTTTCTTACCTGTTCTGTGTAGATGCCATCCAAAGTCTTCACCTCCTGAGCTGCAGTTGAGGACTTGGGCTTGTGGTCCCCGTAGCCCTGAGAAGACAGAAACGGGACTCAGACCCTCTCCAAATTAAAGAGCCAAGGCAGTTCTCCGCTCTGACCTTTAATGCACAGAATGTCAGGAGGCCAGACCTCAAGCCTTTTCCCTCCATAGAACAGATCAATCATCTCAGTCCTGAGAAACCTGTTTGCCTTGTAAGTCTCTGGGTGGCACCAGGCAGCTGCCTTGCAGAGTCGGACCCACTGGTCCAAATAGTTCAGTGTTGCCTACATTCACAGGCAAAAACTCTTTTCCGGCATTTCAGAAAGGGGACATTCCCAGCCCTTCTTGGGAGATTGAACCTGGAAGCTTCTGAGCACAATTCAAAGTGTTGGTGCTGACCTTGAAAGCCCTAAATGGCCTCAGCCCTGTATACCTGAAGGACCGTCTCCACCCCCATCGTTCAGCCTGGACACTGAGGTCCAGCTCCAAGGGCCTTCTGGCGGTTCCCTCCCTGTGAGAAGTGAGGTTACAGAAAAGCAGGCAGAGGGCCTTCTCGGTAGTGGCGCCTGCCCTGTAGAACACCCTCCCATCAGATGTTAAGGAAATAAACAACTATCTGACTTTTAGAAGACACTTGAAAGCAGCCCTGTTTAGGGAAGTTTTTAACGTTTGAAGTTTTATCGCGTTTTTAATATTTTGTTGGGAGCCGCCCAGAGTGGCTAGGGAAACCTAGCCAGATGGGCGGGGTATAAATAATAAATTATTATTACTTCTGCATGCAAAGCAGATGCTCTACCACTGAGCCACAGCCCACTTGAAGCTTCTAGTCCCCGTAAATTAAGAGCTGCTTTAAATACAAACATTGGGAGCAGACCTTTGGTCCATCTAGCTCAATAATGCCTGCAATGACTGGCAGCGGCTCCCTCCTGGATTTCAGGCAAGAGGACATTGCCTGCTCTACCTGGAGACAAGGACGTAAGACGAGTCTGCTGGATCAGGCCCATCTAGTCCAGCATCTTGTTCTCAGATGCCTGTGGGAAACTTGCAAGCAGAATTTGAGCGCAAGAGCGACACTCCCCCCTCCTGCAGCCTCCAACAACTAGGGTTCAGAGGCATAGCATAGCCCCTGTGGCTAGTAGCCACTGATACGCCTTATCTGCCAGGAAAATGCTGAAGATTGAACCTTGGAACTTCGGTGTGCACAGCAGACCCTCTTACCAAGGCTTTCCAAAAATGGCTTTTGCATCATTGGCAAGAGGTGCAGGCCGACTTTTGCAAGGGAATACAGAAAAGCAGAATAGTAGATCAGGAAGGGACCCTGTGGGCCATCATTTAGTCCAACCCGCCCTGCAATGCAGGAACCTCAGCATGTGGTTCCCTATCCAATTTGAAACCATGCCGGACCCTGCTTAGCTTTGCAAATGTGCTAGCAGCTTTACTGCTGCGCCACTAGGAGGATAATTAACCGAAGGCCACACTGTGCTGCCGGCTTGATGCAACACTAATCTAGATATTTGATGGCCCAAAGACTTGCCCCTGAAAGGGTCAGCTTTGAAAGCAGGCGATTTGGGAGTTTTCAAACTGTTTTTATGACATTTGTATTCACACGTTTGTGAGCTCCCTTGGAAGGAGGGAGAGCTAAGAATGTAATAAATCATAATAATTTGTATGTGTGAGAAATTGGTAGCTGGATCAGTGTAAGCCATGTATGACATATTACATTTTTTTTAAGTGCACGATGCTTAAAGGTAAAGGTAAAGGGACCCCTGACCATTAGGTCCAGTCGTGACCGACTCTGGGGTTGCAGCACTCATCTCACTTTATTGGCCGAGGGAGCCAGCGTACAGCTTCCGGGTCAAGGGGCCACCATGACTAAGCCCCTTCTGGTGAACCAGAGCAGCGCACAGAAACGCTGTTTACCTTTCCACCGGAGCAGTACCTATTTATCTACTTGCACTTGACGTGCTTTCGAACTGCTAGGTTGGCAGGAGCAGGGACCGAGCAACGGGAGCTCACCCTGTTGCGGGGATTCAAACCACCAACCTTCTGATTGGCAAGTCCTAGGCTCTGTAGCATCCCTAATCGGTTGCTAAAAAGCTGTGAATTGCACTGTTTTCCAGTCTGGAGCCTCATCTCTCGTGTTGAGAGAGCCTTTCACAGCATAGAGTGAAAGCATTACAATTCACTTTGAGCAGCCATGGCTTCCCCCCCAAAGCATCATGGGAGCTGTAGTTTGTTAAAGGTGTTGTTGGCAGACCCAGCTATTCCCCTCCCAGCGCTGCAATTCCCAGAGTTCCCTGGGAAAGAGGAATCGATTGCTCAAGCCCAAGCTCTCGTTGTCACCTCCTCTGGAGTCGATGGGACCGAGAGTCAAGTCCTCACCCGGCCAAACCAAGCGGCAATGGAAAAGCCTTCCTTCCTTCTTCCCTCCCCCAGATGTGGGCCTATCGCAGCAGCTGCGTCTGCCCTCCTTACCAGTTCTCCAAAGGTCGGAGACGGGCCCCAACTGATTGTGCTCTCATCTGCAGCCACTATTATACTGCTCTTCCTGAAAACAGGTACACAAAGGAGGTTACTGTTTTGGAGAGCCCCGGAGCCCCCACCCCACAGATCCCTTCTCAACCTGGATGTGCCTGCCAGCTTGGGTAGACCCAGGGGCCCACACCTCGCAACAGGCTCCTCTGCCTTCGGAAGGCGGAAGGAGCGGTTACCAAGAAGCAGGGCCTTCTCTGCAGTGGCTCCCTGTTAGATGGAATATCTTCATCCCACAACAAAAAGGACAGTCGTACGTACCTGGATCTGGACCTTTTAAAGCACTGTGTGAAAGCTTGCAGGGATTTAACTGTGGGTACACTGAACACTGATACAAGTGGAACCTTGGTTTTTGAGCGCCTCGGAAGCCGAACAATTTGGAACCCGGACGCCGAAAACCCAGAAGTAATTGCTTCCGTTTTTGAACACGCCTCGGAAGTCGAACAGATTCCAAGGAGTGCTTTTTTCCATCTTTTTGCCGACTACCCATTGATCCTGTTTTCAAACATTTCAGAAGTCTTCTGAAATGGATGACGTTCAAAAACCGAGGTTCCACTGTATATTGAATAGGCAGGGGGACGGAAAGCTTTGGCTCCCTGGACGCCGCTGAACCACAACTCCCACCGGCCCTAGCAAATGTGTCCAATGGTCAGGGATGATCTGGAGGGCCAAAGAGGTCCACCACCCCCCGCCCACAGGTGGAATAGTGTCAGATGAGGGGTGTGGGGACGACGACACACAGGTTCATCTGCAAAGCTCAGTGGGTAACCCCAGGCCTAGCCTGACTCACAGGGTTCTTGTGAGGATACAAAAGGTTTCTGGGGAGAAGCACGTAGTCAAGAGCTCAGCCAGACTGGATCAGGCAAGTGGCCTTCTCTAGCCCAGCAACCCGTTCTCGCAGCAGCCAACCAAGGGCCCATTGGGGGAAGCCCACAAGCAGGGTGTGACAGCAACACTCTCCCCAGAAATGGACAGAGGCTTGCGGCCTAGGACCCACGTACCTACGGGGTTGCCTCTCCTGGTATGCCCCGCAGAGGACCTTAAGGTCCACAAATGACAACATTTTGGAGGTCCCAAATCGCAAGGTGATTAGATTGGTCTCAACTAGGGCCAGGGCCTTTTCAGTACTGGCCCCGACTTGGTGGAACGCTCTGTCACAAGAGACTAGGGCCCTGCGGGACTTGACATCTTTCCGCAGGGCCTGCAAGATGGAGCTGTTCCGCTTGGCCTTTGGTTTGGACTCAGTCTGACCCTTATGTTTCCCTCCCGTTATGGTCTTGATTTATCAGTTACTTTTAAAATGAGGCTGCATTTTAAATTGCATTTTAACCTGTATTTTAAATTGGTTTCCCCGCCTAATTATGTTTTGTAATTTTACTGGTTTTAGCTGCCCTGGTCCCTCTGGCCGGGGAGGGCAGGGTATACATAAAATTTATTATTATTATTATTATTCCCTTGAAGGGAAGATGGGCTGCAAATAACAATGGTTATATTCCTAGAGGCATAGGAAGCTTCTTTGTCCTGCATCATCCAGCTCAGTAGTCGACACCTGTGGTTCCCAACATGAGGCACATGCCCCACAGGGGGGGCAATTTGATTTTTAAGCAGGGCAATTCAAGAATGAGTTATTAACAGTGATTTTTTTTGCATTTCTTATGGCTCTAGAGGCCTCCTATATACATATTTCTTATGGCTCTAGAGGCCTCCTATATATATACAGTGGAACCTTGCGTTACGGACGGGATCCGTTCCAGAGGCCCGTCCAAAACATGGAACTGACGCAAGCCGAAGCGCCACGTCTGCGCGAGGCGCGATTTAGCGCTTCTGTGCATGTGGCAAAACCCGGAGTAACCCGTTCCAGTACTTCCGGGTTGCCGCGGGACGCAACATGAAAACACGTAACCTGAAGTGGACGCAACATGAGGTATGACTGTATATGGTGATTCATAACGAGGTACACAGTACAAATGCAAACTGTATACTTCATTATGAAGCACCCTGTATATTGTGACATACAAATTTTTAAAATTAAAATCAGAATGTATTTTGAATTTCTTAGGTACCTTTATTTTATTGCATAGCAATTAAAATGATCAAAGTATTACAGAAAAAGCTTCCATTAAAATTATTTTATATTTATGAATTCAGTTCTCTATTACAGTAGTACCTCAGGTTACAGGTGCTTCAGGTTACAGACTCTGGTAACCCAGAAATAGTACCTCGGGTTAAGAACTTTACTTCAGGAGGAGAACAGAAATTGTGCAGTGGCGGCAGCGGGAGGTCCCATTAGCTAAAGTGGTACCTCAGGTTAAGAACTGTTTCAGGTTAAGAACGGACCTCCAGAACGAATTAAGTTCTTAACCTGAGGTACCACTGTATATGTTTCAAAACTTTATTTGCTATTTTTTCATATCACTTCATATATTATTTTTTATTTTTATTTTTATTATTATAAAACGATTTCTTAGGTGATTTCTCCCTCGGTACTTCAACTGCCCTTTTCTTTCTTTAATTTTTCTCTTTCATGGCTGCCATGTTCTTTCGGAAGCTTGTTTAGACCAAGTTAATGGCCTTTTAAGCTTCCTCTATGCAAATAGGAATTCACTTTTTGAATAAGAATTATGTGTTCCCAGAGTTTCAAACAGGAAACCTTTCCGGGAGACGCTGGGGACTGAACCCGGGACATTCTTCATGTCACAAAGATGCTCTAACCACCTGATTTCCATCTGGTCTGCTTTTTGTTTGACCACTGCCATGCCACACCCAATTTTACCCATCACAACAACCCTGAAATGCAGATTAGGCTTCAAAAGCATGATTCCATGGGGTTTGAGTGGAGGTTTGGGCCTGAGGCCTATCCCACAGCGGCGCACCATTTTATATAAAACCACCTTGGTTGCAATTCAGCAGGAAAAGAGGCACGATATAGATCCCTTTAAAGCAGATGGAAACAACTTTTTTCTAGATGGACATCTGCCCCCTTACAAACTGCCCCTCAGTCCTTGCTTGCTTAGAAGCAAGCCTCTCATTTCCCGATAATCTTCCAGTTGCTAAATGGCTGAGATGCCAGTCCTTCCTTCGTTTTCCAAGTACACCACTGTCTGCAGGAGGTTAAGCCCATTAGCAGGGGGATCTTCAGACCAAAAATAACAGAAGCAGATTTTAGAGGCTCCCTCAAGCCCTGTCAGAAGAGAAAACCACTCTCTTGAAAGTGACAATTAGCAAAAAGAGAGAAGGTGACTGAACCCCAAACAGATTCAGCCATCAGCTCAAAATAATAATAATATATCATTATGCAAAAGGAGATGGCTCTTTGTAATAGCTTCCATTAGAGGCCATTAGAAAGGCACCTCTATGCCCCTTTGCGCATATCAACAGAAGAAGAGAGGGAGCAAATTTATAAATGGAGAAAAGGAGGGGGTTTGAGGGCACTTAAGCTATTGCGGTCAAAGTGAAACTTCTCAAGTTTCTAGCCCTGAAGAGAATTTTGTTGCATGGTGAACACAAATGGTCAGTCCTGTTAGAAAACCCTGGCGTCTTGGGGAAGGGAGGGTAAGGTTGACTCTGGGTGAGACAGCTTGCTGTTGTTGTTTTTATAAAGGCACCTTTTTTCTCACTCTCGTATAAAATCACAACTTCTTACCCACAAGCCAGACTGCGGATTTTCCAGCCGCATAGATCCTGCACAGTTTTGGGGTACATTGTGGACTCCCGGGAGGTGTTTGTGGCTCCCCAGAAAAACAGGCCTCCTGTAGAAAGGGGAACAAGAGGGGGTTATTGAGTCTTACGGTTAATATACACGGCACATTGGACTACTGCAATGCGCTCTTCGTGGGGCTACCTTTGAAGGTGACCCAGAAACTGCAATTAATCCAGAATGCGGCAGCTAGACTGGTGACTGGGAGTGGCTGCCGGGACCACATAACACCAGTCCTGAGAGATCTGCATTGGCTCCCAGTGCGTTTCCGAGCACAATTCAAAGTGTTGGTGCTGACCTTTAAAGCCCTAAACGGCCTCGGTCCTGTATACCTGAAGGAGCACCTCCACCCCCATCGTTCAACCTGCACACTGAGATCCAGCGCCGAGGGCCTTCTGGCGGTTCCCTCATTGCGAGAAGTGAGGTTACAGGGAACCAGGCAGAAGTGGTGCCCACCCTGTGGAATGCCCTCCCTTCAGATGTGAAGGAATTAAGCAGCTATCTTAACTTTAAAAGACATCTGAATGCAGCCCTATTTAGGGAAGTTTTAATATTTAATGCTGTATTGTTTTTAACACTCGACTGGAGGCTGCCCAGAGTGGCTGGGGAAACTCAGCCAGATGGGTGGGGTATAAACAATAAATTAATTATTATTATTATTATTATTATTATTATTATTATTACATAGTTGTGTCTCCCTGGCACTCTTAAACCAACACACAACTCCAGCAAAAGCTGTGCAATAATCTTTTCTATTTTTTTGCAAATAGTGTGCACACATCTAATGACGGGGCCTTCTCGGTGGTGGCCCCCTAGTCGTGCAATGCCCTCCCAGGAAGGCGGCATCTGCAGATGGGCTTTGCAGCCTGAAATCTGACAAGGCCTGCGGCTTACCTGTTTCACTAATGGTGAAGGAGCAGGTGTAGCCTGCGTAGATTTGCGCCGCCCCACGCCCGGGGAAGTCGAAAAGCTTCACCAGCCGGGGCACCATTTCGTCCCTCTGCTCAGCATGGCCCAGGCGGCCGTAGCCCCCGAAACCCCAGGAGAAGACGCGTTTCTGAGAGTCCAAGACGAGCTGGAGGAAGAAAGCGGGTGAGGAATTGAAAGGAACCTGCGAGCTTGCCAAGAAAGTTGGTAAGGTTCATTACTGAGTTATTTGGAGCTCGACAGATCAGCCTTCTTTCCCAGGCCGGGAGAAAAATGGCAAAAACAGGGTATTTATCGGGACAGTGTCATTTTTGCAGCTGCTGTTGAAGTTGCAAAACAATGAATGAAGCACGGAATGGAGCAATGGAGATATTTCTGGAACAACAACAGAATATCAGCTCTGCCCAAGGCATGATGGAGAACAGCAACAACCGGGAAAAGATAGATATAATATTTTACAAGGACAGGAAGGAACATCATGGACAGAATAATTGCAACACACAGGAAGAACAAGGATGTAGTTTGAATGCTTCACCTGTAAGTTTATAAATCATTTAATGTGTCGTTACAAATGGAAGTCGTTAATACTGCAGCTGTTGTATAAAGGATTGTTATTTTGACAGCACTGTACTCTGAAAATTTATTATTCCCAAAATGAAACTTTCCTCTGGTTGTAAATATTAAGATGATGCCAGCAAGAATGAGTCTGTAAAAAAATGATTTGAATCAAGTCTTACTGACTAGTGACTTAAATCGTGATTTAAATCGATTTGATTTAAAATCGAATCCACCCTGTCTGCACCCAATGCAATTTTCCGGACTCCCAAGTGCTTAGGACGACAACTCTCATTGGCCGCAACGGTCAATCTAGGCAGCAGAGGATGACCAAGTCTTACCGTATGATTTGCCCCGCAAGCAACGTCCCTCACCACAACGTTTGGCACCGGCAGGATCTGGCCATCTTTCGTCTTCTCGATGAAGATGGCGACACGGCGGGGAACCAGCTCACAGTCATACTCTATCCTCTGGGCTCGGGCAATGAACTTTCCGTCGGAATTGTGCCCTATTTTGGGGGGGGCGGGCAGAGAGAGAGAGAGAGAGAGACTAAGGAACGGACACAACAAGGAAGGGGAAGGCTCCCCTCTCCCGGCCCCCCCCTTACGCCACCAAAACGCGGAGGAAATTAACAGTGTACCCAGCTGTCCATATTCGGGGCATCCAAAAGAATACAAGTTCCCTTTGCAGTCCATTGCCATGCTGAACTCGGCCCCACACGCCACCTTTGTAATCGGCTGCCCATTGTACATGATCTAGAAAAAAAAGGGGGGGGGAGGTTAGAAAAGGCTGAAAGATACGCCGACCCTCACAAAACCTCTCCAAAGGGTCACACGCCTAGTCTCGCAATTCACTAGGTCTGCACAAACTGTAAGTCTGTTGCTCTGATCGGTGGAACTGGCACTATTAAAGGTGCCACAGCAACAATTCCACATTTGTAAGAAATCCACCTGGGTATAGGGTGGTATATAAATTCCATAAATAATAATAAATAAACAATAAGGATGCAGTCCCTCTGCCTACCTGTGTGGGGCTGGGAACGGCGTCAGTCTGATTGCCCAAGCCCAACTGACCCATCTTGTTCTCTCCAAAGGCAAATACAGAACCGCTCTCTGAAACAGAAAGGTTGGACAAACAACTTTCCCCTTTCACACCATGCTACAGAGACCCACAGCCAAAGCCCTCCCTCGCCCCACTGCTTGACTTATTTTATTTTGACAAAGTAAAAATCATAAATAAATAAGAATAAAAATGTGCACCTCACCCCCGAGACCATTCCACTTTAACTATCCAACCTCCCGAAATCTCAACACCTCTTGCGATGGTTTGACCCCTTTCCGTTTTAACAATACAAATTCTACAAACACCTTCCATATCTCCTCGAAATCATTTCTCCTGCGGATTCCGTCTTGCCTTAATAGCACATGTTAATTCATCCTTAATCGCTATATCCCACACCTCTTTATACCATTCTTCTATTCTGCTTGCCCCTTCCATTTCCTAGCTATCATAATTCGTGCAGTTGTCAATAAATTTGTGAGCAAGTACTTCACAGCCTGCGAACCTCCCATCCCATCGTAAATTGATAATAATGGACCTTCAGTCAGCTTTAATCCAGTGATTTCTGTTATCTCCTTAAACACCCACTGCTTTTGACTCTGTGGCCCTTTCAAAACAGCAGCAAAGGAAAACTGCCTATGTCAGAACATGGGTCAGCCGACCTCAGGATTGGCGACTCTGACCGGCAGCTGTGACTCTCCTGGGATCATCAGACAGGTGAGTTTCCCAGCTCTGCTACCTGGATTGAACCTGGAACGTTCTGGATGCAAAGGACATGCTCTCCCCAACACCTCTTGCGAACCATGGTCCTTTCCTTGACAACACAGCAAGTTTCCAGTCCTCATCGTTCTGAACAAAGCAGCACATGAAGATAGGAAACTGCCTTATACCAATTCAGAAGATTGGGTGCACTGCGCTCAGCGCCTCCTACACTGACTGGCAGCAGCTCCCCAGGGATTCGGGCGAGAGCCCTACCAGGAGACACCCCTGGGGATTGAACCACAGACCTTCTGCATGCCAAGCAGGTGTTCTGCCACTGAGCTATAGATTCCACACCTGCTGACGGCACCTCTGATTCCTAGGCCTCGTCCAAGACTTCTCTCTCCAGAAACCAACTCTGTGCCTCTCGTCGGAACAGCTGTTTCCCCACCGTAACGTTCTCCTCCTGGCTGCTTTCCCTCTGAGCCGCCTGGTGAGCATTCCGTGACATCAGAGCAGCTCAGCCAATAGCAGGGCACGGTGGAAGGCAAAAGCACGCACGGACACACAGATTGGACAGAGCCTCTCCTACCTGTCAGGGCTAGCGTGTGGTTGCGGCCGCAGGCTGCCGAGACGACGGTTTCGCTGCAGAGCACTTCGATGGCCTTTGGGGCATCCACGCGCTTGGTGTCCCCGTGGCCCAGCTGCCCTTTGTCGTTACGTCCTGGAGAGTTAGGCACACACACGTACACAGTGACTGCGAAGCCCAGATTACAGGTGTGCAACTTGCTTTTAAAAAACAGCAGCAGCCGAATCGGGAGCCCAGCAAGCGGTGAATTTTGCGTTCTCTCAAAATCAGAACTTGGGGGTCCATCTAGCTCAGCGCTGCCCACACGGACTGGCAGCAGCTCTCCAGGATTTCGGACGGGGCTCTTTCCCACTTTTGCCTGGAGATGCCGGGATTCGAACCTTGAACTCTCAGCACGCAAAGCAGACGCTGTGTCGCAGAGCTGCTGGATCCCACGAAAAATAAAGGAAGATTCTAGCCCTGGAGATGCCACTGGGTTCTTGGGGGGGGGGGTTGTTTCCCAAAACATTTTTATTGATTTCGCAAAAATATGCAATAAATGAACATAATAACTTCCGTACAAAAATGCATTACTCTTTATATTATTGATGTATACATCCCTCCTCTTTCCAAAAGTCAGGGAGGTATTATTATTTATAATCTATTGTATGATGTTTACTTGTTTTGTTTACTATCTGTTTTTGTCATTCCTTCCCCAGAAGGTGCAATCACATGGCACCTTATGCATGCGAAGAATAAAGCCTCATCTAGGGTTAGTGTTGTCTACACTGACTGGCAGCAGTATCCCTCCAGGAGTTCAGATTGGGCGGAGGGGAGGTCTTTCCCAACGCTACCTGGTGATGCTGATGGGGTCTGCACCCGAGTCCTTCAGCATGCCAAGCAGCCACTCTAACCACTGAGCAACCTTCCCTTGCAACAAGCAGGGATTTCTCCTAGCAGTTTTAGCTCCAAAGGACATCTATGAATGCAGAAGGCTCGGGAGACTTACGAACATGCATTTTTCAAGCCACTGCAGCACTGAGCCTACAATTCTATGACTGAAGTCACATGCTCAGATCTTCTTGTCCCAGTGAACAACCTGACCACTGAATTCTGCACCCAGGGTGGATAAAAACCAGTGATTTTTGTTTAAAAAGTGATAATTAAAAAATTGGATTTTATATTTATTTAAATTGGATTTTTTAAAATTTAAATTGGATTTTTAAAATAAAATGCTTTTGGAGAAAAAATCTTTCTAAAGATAATCTTTAGATAATCTTTCTATTAGAGTTACATTATAGTTCAAAGGCTATTCATCAGGAAATAAGGATTTGTTTTAAGTTTTTCATGTGTGATAAAACTCAGTCAAAGTTTTTGTTAAAAAAACCAATCATTTAACCGCATGTTAACAAACATGGATATATATGCTATAACGTTATTGTTTTAGTTAAATCAATTGTTTAAACTGTTATTTAGGAAATGATTATTTTTCTCCTTCCAATGAAGCACAGCATAAAAGTTGTCCAAATATAAACAGTTAACTTATTAAACCTCACAATCATTGGTCTATGTTATTTCTAATAGTATAACCAAATCAGTAATTCTTGATAGAACTGTAAAAACTACTCTGACAATTTATTATTCCAAAAATGAAACCTTCACCTGGTTGTAAATATTAAGATGATACCAGCAAGAATGAGTCCTTCTTTAAAACAATGATTTAAATCAAGTCTTACTGACTAGTGATTTAAATCATCATTTAAGTCGATTTGATTTAAATCAAATCTAAAAAGGTAAAGGGACCCCTGACCATTAGGTCCACTTGTGACCAACTCTGGGGTTGAGGCGCTCATCTCGCTTTATTGGCCGAGGGAGCTGGCATACAGCTTCCGGGTCATGTGGCCAGCATGACTAAGCCACTTCTGGCGAACCAGAGCAGCACACGGAAACACCGTTTACCTTCCCGCTGGAACGGTACCTATTTATCTACTTGCACTTTGACATGCTTTCGAACTGCTAGATTGGCAGGAGCAGGGACCGAGCAACGGGAGCTCACCCCATCACAGGGATTCAAACCGCCAACCTTCTGATCGGCAAGCCCTAGGGTCTGTGGTTTAACCCACAGCACCACCCGTGTCCCAAATCAAATCTACCCTGGTGCAAACTACCAAATGCAAACCCTGCTGGAGATTCAAGACACTCACCCCAGCTCCAAAGTTTCCCTTCGGTGGTGATGAGCAGGCTGTGAGCGGCGCAAGGCCCTGAGACCACTGTCCGGACTTGGACCCCCGAGAGGGAGCCGTACCTGTGGGGCCCCCATAAGTTCTGGCCCAGGTTCCTGTAGGCGGCTGCAAGGAAAGGCAGTAATGGCTTAATAATAATAATAATAATAATAATAATAATAATAATTAAGAAACACAGGTGGTGGGCTGAGGCAGTCCTGTCGAGGGCAGGCACCCCTGACTTTCCCCCTCCTCTCCGTGCAAAAAGCAGATTTCCAATGGCACAAATTTTCCACCAGGCAACCCACAATAATGACCAATAATAATAACAACAAACAGTTCTTATCTGCTATTATAATGCTGTCACCTTAATCGGAAAAATGACTCAAAGCTACTAACGAAAGCAGGAAAACCGAACTGAATCTATTACGAAAAACGCAAGGGATTTTGAGGGATATACCACATCTGGCTCAGAGACCTGCACCAGTCTTGGGATATAAAAACCTTAATTACCTGGAGAACAGTTAACCTGTGAGATCGCCTTGCCCCATAAATGCCCACTTGACCTCTTTGATCTGTGGAAATGGAACCGGCTACAAATGCTACCTAACACCCATTCAACATTTGTCTTTTGAAATTTTTTAAGTTTATACATTTCACTGAATTTACAATCGTTTTAACATTTCAAAACTTGACTTCCTTCCCCCTCTTTTTGCAGTTCCTTAGATTTAATTTTGGTATCGTCTGCATATCCAAATTAACTTAGCTCATTTATTCAGCTACTGTAAACATATACTCTTATAAAACTGCAGGTTATTACAATAATCCTGCCAATGTTCTTATCTGTTTACAATATATCTGTAAATATTCAATAAACCATTTCCATTCTTTTATAAACAGTTTGTTTTCTTATTCTTCCAGTAAGTTTTGCCATTCCTGCATATTCCACGGCTGGCAAACTAAGGCCCAGAATCCGGCCTGTGGACTGTCCGGGAACCAGCATGTCTTTACATGAGTAGAATGTGCCCTTTTATTTAAAATGCATCTCTGGGTTACTTGTGGGGCATAGGAATTTGTTCATTTTTTTCTTCAAAACATAGCCTGGCCCCCCACAAGGTCTGAGAGACAGTGGACCAGCCCCCTGCTGAAAAGGTTTGCTACCCCTGTTTCAAACAGTTGTTTTTAACTGGGCTTTTTTCCTCCCCCGATCAAATCGTCATTTTATTCTTTCTGCAAACTTTGATTATTATTTTTTTGTTATTCACAACCAGGCAGCATGTACATTTTGTGAAATAAATAATACAAATTTAAATCCATCGCATTAATATCCTACATTTATCTTCTCCAAGGAATTCAAGGTTCTCCTCCTCCTCCTCACTGAATCCACACAACAACCCCGTGAAGTAGGTTAGGCTGAGAGGCAGTGACCGGCCCCAAATTTACTTTTTAGCAGGGTGGGGAGATTTTAACTCTGGCCTTTCCCAATACAGTGGTACCTCTGGTTACGTACTTAATTCGTTCCGGAGGTCCGTTCTTAACTTGAAACTGTTCTTAACCTGAAGCACCACTTTAGCTAATGGAGCCTCCTGCTGCTGCCGTGCCACCGGAGCACGATTTCTGTTCTCATCCTGAAGCAAAGTTCTTAACCCGAGGTACTATTTCTGGGTTAGCGGAGTCTGTAACCTGAAGCGCATGTAACCTGAAGCATATGTAACCCGAGGTACCACTGTACTGGCTCTGTATATTAACTGAAAAACTTAAAAAAAGAGAAACTCAATAAATATACACACACACAAAAAATAAATATAAAAGAGGTCTAGCTGATCCTGCCCCCCTTTTGCACTAAACCAAAAAGTCCTAAATGTTGCAACCATTCCTTACAGGGCTGGCTTCTCCATTTCTCCCATGGCTAAAAACACCCTTCAGATGCAAATCCATAATTTTCTCCGCTGGGAGCCAAATGCCACACATTTACACGTGCCCTCCAAGTCAGAAGGAAAGCGTTGCCTCCCACCAGACCGGGCCAAATGATTCATAGGTCCAGCATCATTTGCTGCAGCTGGTAGCATCCTTCCCAGGTCTGTCTGTCTGTCTGACCTCTGTTTCCCACACTTCTTTGTCTAACAGGAAATTGCCAGGGGTAGACCCTCGGGCCCTTCTGCAATCGCAACATGCGCTCCGTTGCCCTGTCTACATTTTGCAACCCCTCTCCCTTCTGCCTGCCTGCCTTTTTCTTTCTTTCTCTTTCTCTCTCTCTCCCCCCTGCCCCCCAACCTTTTGTCTTCCTGGAGATCACAGCCTGAGCTCAGATGTCTTTTAAGCCAGGCGCCAAACAAAGAGACCACAGTCTGAGCTGGGAGACAGATGTCAGCTCCAGAGATAAGGAAAATCTGCAGAGTGGCAATGCTGTCCACCCCCCCTCAATCTGCATTTTGATACATACCAGCAGCTTAAAATGCGAGCCTTAATGAGCCAGTGAGCAGATCCCCCATCGGACAGCATCCTGTTCTAACAATAGCAAATCTAGATGCTTATTATGGGAAGCATGCAAGCAGGACCCGAGAGCAACAGCAATGTTCTCCCCACTTGAGAATCCCAGGGACCAGAATTTGATGGTAGATTAGCCCTGGATATGAGAGAGCCCCATCTATTTAGCATGGCTTTGTGCGCTGCTCTGGTTCGCCAGAAGCGGCTTAGTCATGCTGGCCACATGACCCGGAAGCTGTACGCTGGCTCCCTCCGCCAATAAAGCGAGGTGAGCACCGCAACCCCAGAGTCGTCCGCGACTGGACCTAATGGTCAGGGGTCCCTTTAACTTTAAACCTAGCAACATCAGTAGAGGCCTTCAGCTGGAACAGACCTATGGTAAAAAGGTATAAGTTAAAGGACCCCTGGATGGGTAAGTCCAGTCAAAGGCAACTATGGGGTGCGGCACTCATCTCGCTTTCAGGCTGAGGGAGCCGGTGTTTGTCCACAGACAGCTTTCCAGGTCATGTGGCCAGCAGGACTAAACTGATTCTGGCACAACAGGACACCGTGACGATTGCACAGAAACGCCGTTTACCTTCCCGCTGCAGCGGTACCTATTTATCTACTTGCACTTTCGAACTGCTCGGTTGGCAGGAGCAGGGACAGAGCAACGGGAGCTCACCCCATCACGGGGATTTGAACCGCCGACCTTCCGATCGGCAAGCCCAAGAGGCTCAGTGGTTTAGACATCAGTAGAGGCCTTCAGTGCAGGTCTCTGAGCACAGGAGTTACAGATTTTATATATAAATAAATTTGGTACCCTTTTTTCACATTCTTTATCTTTCTGGTGCTCACACAACTCCCCTTAGCCAAGAAGGACCGAGCAGTAGTCAAGTTATAAACGTGCTGGATGATTAAATATTTTTCATCTCAAAAGAAGAAGAAAACCCAACCCAAATCAAAAATCAGTTTTTCCTATTGTCATGAGGCCTAAGAGCCTTGACGGAAGAGCAGCTGATGGTAACAGAAATGGAAAGAAATACAGCACCATAAAAAAGAGATAAATAATAGGGCAGAGAAACCCCACCCGCTAAAACACAACCATTCAGCAACAGAGGCTCCACGAGAAAATAATTTCAGGAGCGGCCTAGCCCTGAAAATACATGTTGCGACAACAATGCTTATAAAACGTGTTTAGATCAGCCTTGTCCAGTCTGGGCCTCTGCAGACAAAACTACAATTCCTACCAGCCCCAGGGGGCAATAGCCAGTAGTCAGGGATAGAATCGCAGCCTTGGAAGAGATCCCAAGGGTCATGTGGTCCAACTCCTTGCAGGGTTGCGGGGAGTTGTAGGGCAGACCCACACTCCACATTTAAAGCCTATCCAATGCACATGCGACTTCCTGGGAACCACAGCGTGTTGATGGTGCTGGGAATGACAGCTCTGTGAAGAGGAAACTACAGTTCCCAAATCACCTGGAGGGCGCCAGTTTTCAGAAGGCTGCCCTAGATTGTGGGGAGCAGGCCGTGCTTAACGGGCGGTGTGACAAGCTGAGATCTGCACATGCTCAGGGGCACCCTTGGCCTTCTGAAGTGTGCGCTTGAACAGCCTTAGGCCCAAGATGATGATGAATGCAGGCCTAAGGGGCTGGTGTGAATTGTACCCCAATTCCCCGGAATGGAGAAGGCATGCTTAAAACAAACTTGTTTATTTAGGAGACCACCGTAAGCAGATGAAAACATCAGCAGAATTCTAAGAACACTTATAATGTAACAAGTACTAAGGACAGTATGGACAGATTTAAAATACAGTGGAACCTCGTGTTACGTACTGCCCTCCTTACGAATGCTTTGGGTTACAAGCTCCGCTAACCCGGTAGTAGATTCTCCCGGTTGCAAACTTTGCCCCTGGATGCAAGTGGCAGGCGCCATTAGCAAAAGCGCGCCTCATGTTAAGAATGGTTTCGGCTTAAGAACGGACCTCTGGAGCAAACTAAGTTTGTAACCGGAGGTACGACTGTATGGACTATGAAATAATATGTTTTTTTTCTGTAGATGTATGCTTTTTGTCTTTTTTTGTTTGTTTGTTTCCTTTGTTTGTTTGTTTTGTATGTTCTGTTCTTCTTTTTTGTTTGTGTAGTATTATTTTGGATTCAATGTCTGTAATTTCTGTTATGATTTTGCATTGAAAATAATAAAAATTTAAATAATAATAATAATATGCGGTTGAAAGCGTTGACAATAGGAGGGGATAGAGGGAAGTCTAGAGATTCAGAGAAAGCTCTAAATGTTGATATTTATCAGTACTGTTATAACTCTACACTTGTAAAACCAAATAAAAATTATTTTCAAAAACAAAACAAACTTGAGCAACATTGCACAGGCCGAACTTTCCACCTTAAAAATACAGTAGAACCTTGACTTACCACCACCCCTACTCGCGAACAATCCGACCCGCGACTGCGGCAAATCCGGAAGTAAATACCAGGTTTGCCGCGATTTGCGCATGCACAGAAGCGGCTTCTGCCGACTTCACATGTGCAGAATGGGACTTCTCCCAGTGACCCGGATCGACTCACGAACGGACCACTGGAACGGATCCTGTACGTGAGTAGAGGTTCCACTGTAATCTGGAAAAGTAGCAGTTCTACCTACCTTGCTGCTTAGGCACTTCCTTACGGCCAATCAAGTCCCAGTTGGTGGCTCCAAATATCAGAAGCTGCCCTTTGAACTTGGATCCTTCAAGCTTCTATGAGGGGTAGAGAAGGTGGGAGAGAAAAAGAGAAAGAATCAGATCCAGCATTTGAAATTCGCCAGGGCTAAGTACGGACCCCCAGGACAAATTAAGTTCTTATCCGGAGGGTCCACTGTATAAGCTAAACAAGCTAAAACTTAGGGCCCCTCTCTCTTGGGGGCCCCCCAAATAATTAAAGGGAAAAAAACCACTGCACGCACATTTCCAAATTATAAGATAAAAAACAAATAAAATAAAACCTACATACAGCAACAGTGCTTTGTTTTGTGTAGGCTCCTATGATGTAAGTAATGGACCTCGCCTGCTAGCCTGCTCCCTAAAATATCACCGGTTTGCTCATTTCTATCTATAGGGTGCCTACATTCTGCATGGATTGGTTGCACGGCAACATGTGCATATGGCTTGAGATACCTATTAGGTCCATCAATTACCATATAGCACAGGGTTCGGCAAGCTTTTCTTGCCTCGGGCCAGTGTCTCCAGCGACGATCGTGCAGCAGGCTGGAGGGCGGGGGAGTGTGCGCCCGTACGCGTGCGCACACGCTATTTCCGGGTCGGAGGAGCACCGGAAATAGCGTTTGCACACGTGTAGGAGGCCCCTGCACATGCACACAAGCTATTTCCAGTGCTCCTCTGACAGAATCGGAGGACTCAGAGGAAATGGCATGTTTGCCCCTTACCAAGCAAACCAAAATCAGCGAATTCTTCCATGGAAAAACAAAGGACACTTTTAATATTCCGACCTCGAACAGTTTCTCGCCATTAGCAGAGATAATAGATAAGGAAATTACACCGAAGGAACCACCCACTAAACAACCCATTAACTCCTTAAACAACTCCACCACGAGACCAAAAGGCCCCAAAAAGCTCCAACTATGCCCATTCAGGCGGAAGACTGCATCGGAGAACAAGCAAACTATCTCTCTGAATTATTGCTTGAACACTCTACCACGTTAGACCTAGTGGCTAAAACCGTGGACTGTATCTTTAAATATATAAGAGACATCAAAGGCTCCTTAGAGAATATTACATCCTTTGTATCCCCAAAAGTTAATGTCAGCCCTGTAGACGTTTCACCGGAGGATAGGGCTGAACCAACACCCAGAGTACCTGCCCTATTACGTTTAACCCCGCAGACTGGCTGCAAATCTGAAAACGAACAATCTATGGAAGATTCACACACCATATCTTCCTATAATCTTTCGTTACAAGCCACTAGACTTTGTTTAATTATCCTTCCCTTCAAAGGTCAGGTTGTTAACTGGTCGTCTACACATGTCGCAAGAAGGCATTTGGCTGAGCTTCTGGGCGTAGATCCTCTTTCCATCGATCTGAAATCCGCTGTCCACATTTACAGCAAGCCACACATGCAGAGGATACTGCTCACCTTTGATTCCAAAAAGCTTCCAACTTATATGATGTCCTTACGAAGCTACCTGACTAACTATAGAATTTTTATCACAAGAGTTTTTATCAACACTAAGATTTGCCCTCTTATTCCCTACTCTCCAGTTAAAAGGAAAGCAATTAAAAATGAGGGCATTCCATCTACTACGAGCTCTACCTCTCCACCCTCAGACTTAATTAGTTGGACAGAGACCCCCATGCCCCTCCTATCAAAGGCTACTCATCTTGAGAATTCGATGGAGCAGGAATTACTTGTCTCCTTCTCCCATCTGCCAAAAGCCGAACAAACAGAGATAACGGACAGACTAGATGAGTTATTACTCTATCTCCGCAACTTTGAAGATCTAGCGCCCATAAAAGAGGCAAATATTCCACCTAACTTGGAGCGAAAAATGGGTCATGAATCTCCTCAGGTCACGGCAGAACACACACCTCTACTCTGCCCATCTGAAATCCACGCCGAAATCTCTGTGGCGCCCTAATCACATTACCGGAGACTCAACCATCCAATGGTTGCATCTTCCACGACCCCGGGAAAACCCTAGATGCTATTGAAGAGACAAAATGACTCTCACCCCTACTACTATCCTGGAACGTTGCTGGATGGCAATCGAAAACAAGGGACAAAGACGTTTTAACCTACGTATCACAGTTCAAGATCATCCTGCTCCAAGAAACCTGGATGCAAAATCCTTTCGAACTACACAATTACTTTGCTTTCCATTCCCCTGCCACAATCGGCCCAAAAGGCGGAAGACCGGCGGGAGGTTTGAGCACCTTCGTATCGACAGATCTAGGAGCCTCCCTATCCAATTGAAAATCGATAAAAATGGATTTTGGCCGTTAAAATATTCTCCACCCATTTTAAGATTATATGCATCAATGTCTATATTCACCCACTTATGAAACAAACTGATCTTAAAAACATCTGGAACGAACTGGAAGACTGCATTCTCCTTGTCTCAAATAAGTTTCCCTCTGCCTCCTTAATTATTGGTGGGGATTTTAATGCAAGGCTAGGCCACTCAGACGAACAATTAATCAAGGAAAGTGGAATGGGTCCCCTAAATGCTAATGATGAATATTGGCCCCTATTCAGGCGTCACTCACTTGACCCAGTCACCAATTTTGCTGGTACATGCCTTTTTTTAATGGCACTTAGATTAAACCTTGTTATTTTAAACGGCCTCTCCTCGGGGACTGCCCTGGCCAATTTACTTACTGGTCAGGCCTAAGGCATTCTGTTATTGACTACATCCTTGTCTCCCAAGAACTTTTCGATGAATATATTGAATTTACTGTAGATACAAGAACCGAAAGTGACCATTTACCCCTAAATCTTAAAAGGACTGAATTTTGGGAACCCTCTAGATGTGGGCTTGCCCCGCAGACTCCTGATCCTAGCGCTTTACAACAAATAGGTAGATCCAGAATTAAATGGTCCCCTTATGTTAATAACCATTTTGGTATTTGGACACAATCAATGGAAGGTCAACTCCTCTGGGCTGATCTGACTTCCAACGACACTGAAGAGACCTCCCCAATCGACCATTATAACACATTAATCCGAAAACTCCAACCGTTATTGTCAAGACCCAGAAGATCTAACCAAAATGACTCCCTACCAACAAAAATGGTTTGACCACGAATGCACTCAGGCAAAACTTATACTCAGGGAATGCTTTAAGGTCTTCCAGCAAAATCCTAACCCTATCACTAAATTGGAGTTACAACTTAAAAAAAAGAACTACAAAGAGTTATTAAAAACCAAAAAAGAACCGCAGACTCTCTCATCTGGCAGGCCCTCATAAAAGCGTCAATAGAAAAAGACAATTCTAACTTCTGGAAAATCATCTCCAGTCAAACCAAAGCTCCTAATGAGGGCACAATAATCCCTGCAAATTCATGGGAAGAGCACTATAAAGTGCTGTTTAGGGAACATTGTCCTTCTGCGCCGCTTAACATCCCCTTAGATAATGATACACCATGGCCCCCAACATCTGAAACTGAAATCGCTTCGCTAATTCTACAAATGAAATCTGGCAAAGCCCCAGGAAGTGATTTCATTGTCGCTGAACTTTTGAAAGCGCAAATAAACTGGTGGGCCCCGGTCCTTGCAAATCTATTTTCATATATAGACAAGACAACTGAAATCCCTAAAGATTGGGGACTAGCTATAATTGTTCCCATATTTAAAAAGGGCAACCCCTCTGATCCATCTAATTATAGACCAATTAGTCTCCTGAATGTGATCTGTAAACTTTATACAAAACATCTATGCCTAAAATTATGGGAATGGTTAGATCATAACAACTTGCTAGAAATTGAACAAGCAGGGTTTACATCCGGACGTTCCACCATTGATCACTGCTTAGTGTTAGATTACTTTGTCTATAAGTATGCGAAATATTGGAAAAGTCATTATATGCGGCCTTTGTGGACCTAAAGGCAGCATTTGATTCTGTATCTAGGAGCAGGCTCTGGGCCAAATTGGCCAATATGGGTATTAACAGAAGGTTATTACTTCTGATGATTAAGCTTCATGAGAACAATACCCTCCAGATAAGACTTGCACAGGACGGCAGACTCTCTAGAGAAATCCCAGTCCAAAGAGGAGTTAGACAAGGATGCCTATTAGCCCCATTCCTATTTAACATCTATGTTAACTCCCTGGTCACATGCTGCCGTGAAATTGAAACCCACCCCCCTGTGTTCTCTAATGGCAGAAAAGTACCAATTTTAATGTATGCGGATGACGCCGTTCTTCTCTCTCAAACCAAAGTGGGTCTGAAACGTGCCTTAGGAAAGTTTAGTGACCAATGTAACACTGAACTGCTAACAATTAACTTTGCCAAAACCAAAATTGTACATTTTAACCGCTCCTTCAGGAAGGATAATTGGAGCGTAAAGGGAAACGCCATTGAACAGACTAAGACCTTCCAATATTTAGGCATTACTTCTCTTATAATGCCAAATTCTCAGCACACTTGACCACATCAGCTATATCAGCAGAAAGAAGTGCAAATGCTATCCTTAGATTATTCAGAAGGAAAGGAGCTGGCTTCCTCCCGATGGCCCTAACAGTCTTTCAGGCAAAATCTTTAGCCCAACTTCTATATGGCTCTCAAATTAGCCCCTCTGCCAACCTTAAGACCCTTGAAACAGTACAATCTAAATTCTTAAGATCATTATTTGCTACCCCTAAGTGTACACCTAATGCAGTCTTAAGGCAAGAGGCAGGACTGCCCAGAGTGGAATTAAAAGTCTGGGAACAAGCAATATCCCTCTGGCTGAAAATCCATTACAATCCTAAGGGTCTATTACCTTGCTTCCTGGCCGCAGTTCCCTATCCTCCTTGGCTTATGCAAATAACTAACAAGATCAAACAAATTGGCCTAAACCCTGAAAATATTTTTATTGGAACTCTGAACAAGGCAAAAGCTACTATTACTCGGAGACTTTATGATATCGAATTACAACAAGAAGGCGCCCTACTCCCAGAGACGTATAGATGTTTAAAAGCTTGGCCTAATTTTACAGCTGCCCCTTACTTAACCAACATCACTAGCGAAGCCTATAGATGGGCTTCTCTAGAGCCCGCTTTGAGACAATGCCCTCAGCAGTGCTGTACGGCAAATTCACGCGGGTTCCAATGCATGCGCGTCTCTGCCCTTGTATGTCTAATAAGGTAGAATCTGTCACACACATTCTTCTATCTTGCGAATTCTATAGTGAAGAACGAGCTCAACTTATTTTACCGCTTTTATCAAAATTTATACCCCTTCAATATTATTTGGAATCCTCCCCTGAAATTCTTCGAAAATACCTCCTGGAAGATTCCTCAAGCTCAGTATCATATGAGGTGGCTAAATTTTGCACTTTAGTAATTAAGAAACGTAAATCTCTTCTGTCGAATGGCACACTGCGAAGTTCCCTTGTGTAACCTTTTTTCTTTTCTGAAGTTGTTGTTGATTTCTTGTTGTCTGATCTTGGGATGTTTAGTGTCACTGGCTTTGGCCGCAATAAACTTGAAAGAAAAAAAAGTGCTCCTCTGACCCAGAAGTGGGTCCCTGCGCAGCACTGGTAAGAGCGGGCGGTGGCAACAGGGGTTGCTGTGGGCCAGATAAACGAGGGTCTCAGGCCTTATCCGGCCCCTGGGCCAACGTGACCGCTGACATAGCATATATTCAACACAAAAACCAGCAACAATTTGTTGTTGACATAGGACAGCTGGACATATAAAAGGGCCCCTTGACCTTCGGTAGCTCAGGGCCGCATCAAACCTAAATCCAGCCCTGTTCCTAATCCAAAAGCCCACCTGATCCGCCACGCCCCAGACTTCATTTTGCAACAACAAACGACATTATCACCAGCATTGTGTGCCTGGCATGGAGGCAATTCAGATCACGGCAAAGAGAGAGAGAGAAAGAAAACACTACAAAGAGAAACAGGAAAGAGTGACAGGAAATGAAGCTGACTTCGGGTGCTGTGTCTGGGTTGCGAGGGAAGAGTGTAGGTGCCATTCTGTCAGAAGGAAGTATAATAATAATAATAATAATAATAATAATAATAATAATAATAATAATAATACTACAGTGGTACCTCGGGTTACATACGCTTCAGGTTACAGACTCCGCTAACCCAGAAATATCACCTCAGGTTAAGAACTTTGCTTCAGGATGAGAACAGAAATCGTGCAGCATAGGCGCAGCGGCAGCAGGAGGCCCCATTAGCTAAAGTGGTGCTTCAGGTTAAGAACAGACCTCCAGAACGAATTAAGTTCTTAACCCGAGGTACCACTGTAATCATCATCTTATTATTATTTATACCCTGCCCACCTGGCTGGATTTCCCCAGTGATGCTCTCCTGTCCCGCCACAGTTGGACACAAAGGTCCCAGACTGAAGTCAACAGGATTTCCTTTTGAGCAGACAGACTGCAAAACACCCTAGGTTCAGGACGGATAACAGAAAGTACTTCTTCATGCAGCACAACTATGGAACTCACTGCTGCAGGAGGCATCAACGGCCCCCAACCCAGATGTCTTTAAAAGAAGACCAGGCAAGTTCCCTGAGAAAGGGGCAATCGGTGGCTATTAGCCAACCATGGTTATGCTCTGCCTCGCAGTTGCAGGCAGCAACACTTCTGAATTTGAGTTTCTGGAGACCGCAAGGGGGGCAGGAAGAGGGTTCTTCTACTCATCTTTTGCTTGCAGGTTTCGCACAGGCATCTGGTTGGCCACGGTGAGAACAGGAGGCTGGACTAGAAGCAACACCAGCACAAAACACACACACACTCTCAACCAAGTCAGGACCCAAACCTTGACCACAGAAACAAAGACTGGGTGTGCACAATTTCGTATGCTCTTCCTGCAAACCTGGGATTTACTTTTTTAAAAAAAGTTTTAAGAATGTAAGAAGGGCCCAATGGATCTGGCCAATGGCCAATCTTGGTGTATAGGTAAAGGACCCCTAGACAGTTAAGTCCAGTCAAAGGCGACTAAGGGGTGGAGCCGGTGTTTGTCCACAGGCAGCTTTCTGGGTCATGTGGTCAGCACGACCAATCCGCTCCTGGCGCAACAAGACAATGTGACAGAAACCAGAACGCACGGAAACGCCGTTTACCTCCCCACCAGAGCAGTACCTATTTATCTACTTGCACTGGTGTGCTTTTGAACCGCAAGGTTGGCAGGAGCTGGGACAGAGCAACGGGAGCTCACCCCGTCGCGGGGATTCGAACCGCTGACCTTCTGATCGACAAGCCCAAGAGGCTCAGTGGTTTAGACCAGGGGTCAGCAAACGTTTTCAGCAGGGGGCCAGTACACTGTTCCTCAGACCTTGTGGGGCGCCAGACTATATTGGGGGAGGGAAATGAACAAATTCCTATGCCCTACAAATAACCCAGAGATACATTTTACACTACACTTGATCTTAGCCAAAAGGCCGAGAAGCGATGCAGATGCATTTTAAATAAAAGCACACATTCTACTCATGTAAAAACACACCAATTCCTGGACCATCCGCGGGCCAGATTTAGAAGGCAATTGGGCCGGATCCGGCCCCCGGGCTTTAGTTTGTCTACCCATGGTTTAGACCACAGCGCCACCGCTTGACCTTTAATCTCGGTGTAGCGTCCTGTTCTCCCAGTCGGATGCCCTGATGCCCGTTATGAGATGCTCTCAAGCAGGATCTGAGCATAAGAGCAACCCTACTTGCGATTCAGAAGCATAACTGCCTCTGACAGCGGAAGAATGGAAGAGCTGCCAGCTGGATCAGGCCAATGGCTCCTGTAGTCCGGCATCCTCAGGTGCCCCTTGGGAACCCGCTACTGGGACCCAAGCACAAGAGCCCTCCCTGTTCTGTGGTTTTCAGCAACTATTATTCAGAAACATTGCTGCCTTTGACTGCAGAGGGCAGAGCATAGCCATCGTAGTTAGAATAATAATAATAATAACAATAATAATAATAATTTATTATTTGTACCCCGCCCATCTGGCTGGGTTTCTCCAGCCACTCTGGCCATCTTCCAACAAAGGTTTAAAATACATTAAAATGTCACACATTAAGAACTTCCCTAAACAGGGCTGCCTTCAGATGTCTTCTAAATGTCAGGTAGTTGTTTATCTCTTTGACATCTGGTGGGAGGGCGTTCCACAGGGCGGGTGCCACTACTGAGAAGGTCCTCTGCCTGGTTCCCTGCAGCTTTGCTTCTTGCAATGAGGGAACTGCCAGAAGGCCCTCAGTGCTGGACCTCAGCACCCGGGCATAACGTTGGGGTGGAGATGCTCCTTCAGGTATACTGGGCCGAGGCCGTTTAGGGCTTTAAAGGTCAACACCAACACTTTGAATTGTCTCATTGCCCTTTGAGAATTTGCCCAATCCGCTTGCAAAGCCATCAGTTGGTGGTAATCGCTACCTCCGACAATTGAGCTGTGTGTAAACACCGAGGGGGTGTACACACTAAACAGAAGCAACAAGGTTCCTATGGCTGGATCAGGCCAGAGGGGGCCCCTCTTAGTCTAGCATCCTGTCCTTTGGGGCCACTCAAAGGAAACCCTCAAGGAAGACCCCAAACTCTGCCCATCGGCAGTTGCCAGCAATTGGCAATCACAGGCATTCTGCGTCACATTGCAGAAGTGCTTTGTAAGAGTCCTGCAGGAGATGGATCAGGCTGGTCAACCACCTTAGTCCTCATAGGTGCCCATAATGGAAAATCTGCAAACAAGCTCCAACCCCAAGAGCAACGCTCTGCCCTTCCTGGGGCTTCCAGCAGCTGGCAATGAGGAAGCAAGTTTGGTGCTCACAGCAGCCAAAAAGCAGCAACTTAAAAAAAATAAATAAATTAGTGCGGCCGTTTTAACAAGCAAGAAACAGCCCACTGTTTTTTGTTTCCCCCCCTCCCAATTCTCTCTCCTCCCTCCACTGCGGTCTTGCCTTGGCAGGCCTGGAGGCAGACAAAAGGCAGAGGAGGAGGGGGTGGGAATGTGGGAGTTTGCAGACAGGCCCTGCTGTCCGGAGGGGCCGGGCTTCTGTGCTCTGAAGGACTTCCCTTACCCAGAGAAAGGGGGTGGGTGGGCCCCCACGCGGTCGGACAGGGAAGCCTCCAGGCCCCCCTAGCGGGCGGAGGGCAAGCATCAGCATCAGTGTCCTCCCGTGGATTCCCAGAGCCAAGGGAGGGGGAACCTCCCCCCCCCCAAAAGTGGCCTTATAACACAGGCATGCCAATCCTAACATCTTGAATCGCTGCATGCTACGTCTTTGGGGTTTGCAAACAGCAACAGATGCCAACTAGTGCCACCCCCCAAGTTCTCCAAATACGTTGTGTGTTTTGGGGGGGGGCTGGGGGTGGCAGGAGGAAGCTTGCTAGTTTGCTGCTCCAATGTGAACAGAGTCTATATCTGATGGAAACTGCAAGGGGATGAAATTGGGAAACTCAAGATCATTGCCATACAGAAAGGAGGCTTGTATCGATTCGAACTATTTGTCCACCTGGCCCAGCGTTGTCAACACCGGCTGGCAGTGGTTCTCGAGGGTTTTAGGAAAGGGGTGTCTTTTCCTAGCTGGAGGTGCTGTTGGGGATTAGACTTGCGTCCTTCTGCATGCAAAGCAGGGGCTCTCACGCTAAGCTATGCTTCTTCCCACAAAGGAACCTGCCTTATACTGACTCAGAGGGCTGGTCTGCTGCCTAGCTCAGTACTGTCGACACGGACTCGCAGCAGCAGCAGCTCCGCTGCATTTCAGTCAGAGAGCCTTTCCACCCCTACCTGGGCAATAGCAGGGACCGTATGTGGGGTTTTCGGCTTGCAAAGCACTACACCACAGCCCTTCCCCTAAAAAAACCAAGCAAGATACTGGTCCTCATTGTTCTGAATTTAGGGCCAATTTAAATGGAACGGGGCCTTTTCAGATCCAAAGCCTCAGGTAAGGGGACGGCCCCAGTTGCCTGAACCCAAGTTAGCCACGTCAATTAATTTCAATGGGTCTACTCGGAGTAGGGCTGACACTGGCTTACAAGCCTCTTAGGTTGTTTTCTGCTGCTCCAGAGAAGCAGACACGGAGCAATGGATCCAAACTACAAGAAAGAAGATTCCACCTAAACATTAGGAAGAACTTCCTGACAGTAAGAGCTGTTCGACAGTGGAATTTGCTGCCAAGGAGTGTGGTGGAGTCTCCTTCTTTGGAGGTCTTTAAGCAGAGGCTTGACAACCATATGTCAGGAGTGCTCTGATGGTGTTTCCTGCTTGGCAGGGGGTTGGACTCGATGGCCCTTGTGGTCTCTTCCAACTCTATGATTCTATGATCCCTGATCTAGCTACAGCCTTTGCCTGTCATTTCTGCACAAGTATCTACCAGAACCCAACTTCCCTTGTCTGCAACCCCTGCAAAGGAAGAGGGAGATGGTAACAGGATGGGGGAGGCTCCCATGATCTCCGCCCCCCATCCCCAAAAGATGGAGGCAGCCCCATATCTGCCTTCAACCTGTTGCCCTCCATACATTTGGGGTCCTAGCACTTGACCAATGGCCTTGATGGCTGGGACTAATGGGGTTTGGAATTCAACAACATTTTGTGTGAATGAGGGAAGGCTGCCCTATAATTTCCAGCCCCGAAAAGGGGAGTCCCTCTCTTCTTCACCCCACCCCACACAGCTTTCCAAGAAGACTCAGACCCTCCACTCACAATATACTCCTTCCTTCTCAGTGAATGAGACCCCCTCTGCCAATATTCCCATCTCTCCACCCTCTCCCCTTAAATAGGGGGTCACCAACTCCTAATCTCTGCTCCCTAAAACAAGGTATAACCCCCTTCAAAATATCAATGCTCTGCCTGCCTGTACCTCAGGTTAAGAACTTAATTTGTTCCGGAGGTCCGTTCTTAACCTGAAACTGTTCTTAACCTGAAGCACCACTTTAGCTAATGGGCCCTCCTGCTGCTGCTGCACCGCTGCTGCGCGATTTCTGTTCTCATCCTGAAGCAAAGTTCTTAACCCGAGGTACTATTTCTGGGTTAGCGGAGTCTGTAACCTGAAATGTCTGTAACCTGAAGCGTATGTAACCCAAGGTACCACTGTATTTTACCCCTCACCCCCCAAATCAGAGGGTCCCCAACTCCTAATCCTTCCCCCCTAACACAAGGAAACCCCCCAAACAGGTAGGTGTCCCATCACGGCACCTCCCCAGATAAGAGACCCTCTTTCCCTCCCAAAACAGAGCCACCCTCTCCAGCCACGTAGACCCCCAGAGATCAGCATGCACACCCCTCAAAAAACAGCAATTTTGGGACCATCTTCCTCCTTACAATGCGCTCCTTGCTGTGTTCCGGCTCGCTGACCACCACGGCGGCCTGCGGAGACTCCTGGTTTTGGGGGAGCTGCTCCCCGGCGCCCCGTCCTCCTCCTGCCCGGCCTGGCTTCTTGCCCCCTCCTGCCGCCACGGGGGGAGGCGGCAGCGCCAGCCCGTCCTGCTCGTCCCCGCTGCTGCCGCCACCCCCGTTGCTGCTGCCGCTGCCCCCTCCGTCCCGGGCCTTCTTCTTCCCCGGAGGGGGCGCCCCACGAGGCAGGGCGGACCGCTTGCGCGTGCCTCCAGTCCCGTTGCCGGCACCGTCCCAGGTGGCCGAAGAAGCCGCCGTCGCTTTCCGCCTGGGCATCCTGGTCGCCCGCCTTCGATCTCCCCGGATCGTCCCGCCTGCAAAAGGGGGGGAGGGATCAATGGGGGGGGAGAGAGAAAAGAGGTGTCACGGCAGAATTCATTTCACTTTTTCATCTACGTCCCACCTTTCCCTCCAAGGAGTGGCTGGTTCTCTCCCCCATCCTTTAAACCCAACAACAAGCCTGTGAGGTAGGCTTTGGCCGAGAGGCGGCCCCCGAGGTCGCCCAGTGAGCTTCATGATGGCCACGGCGGGATTTGAACCCTGGTCTTTTCCAGCTCCTAGCCCTACACTCTAACCGCTAGGCCACCACGGCATAACTGACGTGTGTCCTGAACCCTTTTGAGTTAATCACGGATTATTATCTGCACTTTAATACATTTGTTTTCAATTACACCGTTTCGATTCTATTGGCATTTCATTACTTTTTAAAAAAATAATAATACAATTTTCATTAAATTTTCTGTTTTACAATTTAGAATACTCGTTTAAACGTCCTTAAAATATCAGTGACTTTCTTTCTTCTCTTTCCATGGTTCATTTTGCACGTCATATTTTACATAAACCATTCTGTATTCCATTATTACATCCATCAAAACTTATTTAATCACTTAATTACTTATTTCACCATCGACTTTTAAATGTTTCCCAGTTTTCTGTACTTTTATCCACCTTGTTTTCATTTATTGTAAGCTGCCTTGAGTCTTGGAAGAAGTCTCAAAAAAATGTTATAAATAGATGCTTTTTGCCATTTTTACTGAAAATTGCATTGTTTTATTTTTTGAGGGTTTTTTCCCATTACCATCACAGGGTTTATAAATTTTGTGAAATTTATAAATGAAAACAGAACAGCAGAGAGTGAGAGAGAGGAAACTGAGGCAGGGGCTCCTAGCCCTCTTCCCCTTCTCCAAATACACAATTTTTGGGACGCTATTTATTTATTGCCTTTTTTCCTTTAAGGAACTTAAGAAGGCATGCATAAGTTCTCCTCCCCATTTCATAGAATTGTGAAGTTGGAAGCAAACACAAGGTCATCTTCACAACAACCCTGTGAGGTAGGTCAGGCTTGAGATTGAGCGACTGTGGCCCAAGTCAGCTTCGTGGCTGAATTTGAACCCTGGGTCCCTCCTTGGGCCCAGTCCCAACACTATTTAAGAACTACAAAAGTGAAATTTAATTCAAATGCTTAACCCCCACCCCAAAACACACAATGAAGGGTTTTGTGGAGGGGACCCAAAAATTGTATCAGTTCTAATTATTGGGGGGGGTAGTAAATCACCCTCTAAAATTGGCGTGTGGGTGTTTAAAACAAAAACCAGAACAGTTGATTTTTTATTCCCCCCCCCTTCCATAAAACACTCCCAACTTTATGGAGAAGGGGCATTTTCACCCCCCCCAAAAGGCTCTCAAATTGTAAGTACATGATCTACCTTATCCCAATTCTTCAGGGAAGTGGGGTTAAGTAGAGTGAACCCCTCCCATGCCAGCCTTGAAAGAGGGGGCATTATTATCTCCCCCCTAAAAAACCCACATTGAGAGGTACAATTTAAACCTCCACAGTTTTCCCAATTTGGAGGAAACCCCTCCATTCAATTATAAGTGGGGTTTATGGGGAGAAATTCCCACCAATTTGGCTCCCCACTAGGAACCCTTGGGGGGAACCCCACCCCCCAAACCCATTACAAGGTGCACCCCTCAAACTCTCACCCCCACTAAAAACTGGGGGGCAAGGGCAGTAGCCCCACAGCAGCCCCTGGGACCACGAACCAAACTTTTGTGTTTGTGTGGTGGGGAAATATAAACTCCCATATATGAAAGAGGGAGTGATAACCCCACAAAATAAAGACGGGGGTTATTTTTGGGGGGGGGGACGGCTGGCTAATAGCTCAACCCGTCCCCAAACATTAAACCCCACATGGCCTTTAGGAAATGAAACGAATTTGGCCAGCCAAATAGATGAAGCCCCTCTATAAAATATCTCTACCCCGCAGCAAAAAAGCGAGAACCCCCAAAAGATTTCGGGGTAAGAACCCCCATAAATATTGGGGAGGTGGGAAATAATGTCATGGGCTAACCCTGGGGTCAGCAACCTTTTTCAGCCCCAGTCCATCGTCCCTCAGACCTTGTGGGGGGCCGGACTATATTTTTTTTTGGGGGGGGGGAAATGAATGAATTCCTATGCCCCAAAAATAACCCAGAGATGCATTTTAAATAAAAGGACACATTCTACTCATGTAAAAACACTTTACATGTCGGCCGGATTGAGAAGGCGATTGGGCCGTATCCGGCCCCCAGGCCTTAGGTTGCCTACCCCTGGGCTAACCCCATCCTAACAGTGGGTCAGGGGGCAAAACCCCCAATAATTTACTTATATGTGTTTTAATTAAGTATGGGGAGGGGAAACCTAGATAGCCTGCTCCCCTCCCCCCAATAATGCAATATGTGGGGCAGGGAATTGATTCCCTTTCACATAAGCACTCTCACAAGTCACAAAACCAGAGTTTGGCCTGTGAATAGGGGAAAATTCGTAAACTAGGCCTTAGACACCGACCCCAAATAAAACTTGTCCATTTTGTTGCCATTTGGCTTGCTCCAAAATGCACCCCACACAAAGTGGGGCAACCCATTCCAACACAACCAGCCCCCCTAGCATGAAACCAATTTCTCCCATTTTGGGGGTCCTATAGTTTTAGGGCTACAAGGGAACACCCTCTGACACACACACATCCCCCCCATTTCCACATTCCTCCTTCCCCTTCCCACCCCACCAAAACAGGTTCGGGGATACAGAGCATGCCATTTTTTATATAAAAAAGGAGGTTGGATGCTAACAAACTCACAATCTATCCCTTACAAACACACACACAAAAATGGCCCATGCTTCTTCAAAATTAAAGAGGGAAAGGGGTTTTTTGGGGGGGCACCCCACAGGAAAACACAGCAACTCCCCATTGTAGGTCAAATATAGGGCTAAGAGCCCCCCAAATAACCCAACACCCCATAAAATATGGGGGAAGCCCATGCTCCCTCCCCAGTTGTCTCAAAAAAAATCTATTAATTTCTTCCCCAAATTAGGCATATATATATATATATATATATATATATGCTCCCTAAGGACCCCGTATAAAATAACAAGAGGGTGAGTCAAGTCCCATACATTAAAACTGATGGTTTTTTGACCCCACAACCCCCATTCAATGGAAGGGAAAAGACCCTAAATATCCCCTCAAAGTTACCCCTTTAAATATATGACTCCCTCCCTCCAATTTAGCCTTTTTTTCAGTTTTAAAACAGGGAATTCCCCCCCCACACACACAAGAAAAAAAAGCTTACTTCTCACTGTCTCAGTGTTTGCTACACTTACAAGAGGGCAGAGACTCGCCCAGCAATTTTGGAAATTTAACTATTAAATTGACCTGCACCAACACACCAGATTTCATTAAACAGATAATGCAATGAGAAATTGGAGATAATGCCATGAGAAATTGGAGGGGGTGTCCTCCGCAGCCCGATTGCACCCCAACAAATAAATATCTGGAATAAATACACAACTTTTCAATTGCTTTTAAAACAACAAAAAGGACACCCAGCTGTTCGCCCTCCCCCCCACCAAAATGTATTGAAAACAGAACAAAGCGCTGGAAAAAGGAAGCCCCTTCCCCATCAAGGCACAGCAGTTTGCAATCTTAAATTTGGAAGGAGAAAGCCCCCACCTCGTGCAAATGCACAAAAGTGTTTAACTAAAGCATAGCAACACAAAACCGGATGGATTCTTAAAAAGTAAAAGTCTTGGGAAAACTTGTTTCTCTCCCCCGCTCCCCGAAGTATTTTAACATTTCAATTTTTTAAAATTCAGATTTAAAATTAGAAACTCTTTAAGAAAACTACACACCCATTGTTTTGGGTGGAGGGGGCCAACCCTCTCAAGTGCAAAAAAGAGAGAGAGACTTTGAATAAATAAGAGAATATTTATAATCCTACCTGATTCTCAACTCCTTCCTGTTAAAAATAGTAATAATCTATTATTGCCCCCCCAGGTGCAACTAAATCCGCGCCCCCCCCCCAAACCCGGTAACAAAACACCCAATTCTCGGTGCAAAAAAATAAATAAATTTCAACCGTCCCGATTTCCATTCTTTTTGTTTTTGTTTGGGCCTTTGCTGGAAAAAGGTAAAAAAGAAGATTAATTTCCCCCCCATCCCCTCAAAAAAGCACCCCTGCCCCCAAATCTTCAATCACCCCCCACTCAACCTTTTTTTAAAAAAATGTGCAAAATCAGGAGATGGAAAAAGAAAAAAGAAAACACAGAACAAACTTTAGCTTTCTTGGGTCGCAAAGTCGTCGTCTTATTTCCCCCCCTCCCGCTTTCAATCAGAAATACCGACTGGTTGGAATCCTCCTCTTGCAAGATGTACGTCTGAATGCAGGTTCCGAATCTTCCCGCATCTAATTCTTGCCCCCCCCCCTCCAAAAGCCCCGGCTGCCTCTTTTTTTATATATTGATTGCGAACAATGGGATCTCTGTCTGTCTCCGATTAAACCACGTGGATCCGCCTTCCTTCCCCTTTTTTTTGAAAGGAAAAAAAAAATCACCCCCCTCCTTATTCCCCCCCCTCCGCGCATCTTGCAAAAAAAAAGAGAGAAAAACCCCAAACACATCCGCACACACTCACACAACTTTCTTTGCAATAGCAGTTAGGATCAGATTTCAAGCTGGGAGGAGCAGCCGCCTTGCAAAATGATTGCTTTTAATTATTAGGATGGTTTTGAAAAGAAAGAAGTAAAAAGAGAAAGGGGGGGAATCTCTTTTTTTTAATGTTTTGGACTACTTCCTGTGGAAGGGCGGGGGAGAGGCTGCTCCTTAGAGCCCACCCACCAGACCCACTTAAAATATAAATATGAGCCGCGCTGCATATGCTACAGTAGAAAACAAGAAACACATGTATTAGCAGGAAAGGAAGAAGACGAGGAGGGGAGAAGAGGGGAGGAGGGAAAAAAGATCAGCCAGAAGACGCTCGCTTTATCAGCACAGCACCGCCTTAAGGGCTGGATGACTGCAGAAGAAGGATTTGGGGTTTTGCTTGGTTTTGTTTGGTTTTGGAACAAAAGAAAGTGCTTTCTGATAATGTTTCTTAGTTTCCCATTACAATCCAACAATAGCCTCCTTATAGCAACACCCATCTATAAGACAATCATTAATACAGTGGTACCTTGGGTTAAGAACTTAATTCGTTCTTAACCTGAAACTGTTCTTAACCCGAGGTACCACTTTAGCTAATGGGGCCTCCTGCTGCCACCGCGTGATTTCTGTTCTCATCCTGAAGCAAAGTTCTTAACCCAAGGTACTATTTCTGGGTTAGCGGAGTCTGTAACCTGAAGCGTATGTAACCTGAGGTACCACTGTACCAATAGTTCAAATACCGAATGTAATAAACAAAAATCTGCCTTTATTCCCTTATAGGGGACACGAGCCCTTATACAGTAGTACCTCTGGATGCGAACGGGATCCGTTCCAGAGCCCCGTTCGCATCCTGAGCAGAACGCAACCCACAGGTCGTGATTCACCGATTCTGTGCATTTTGAGCGTTTGCGCGTGCGTAAGCGGCTAAACCCGGAAGTAACGCATTCCGTTACTTCCGGGTCACTGCAGAGCGTAACCTGAAAATGCTCAACTTGAAGTGACTTTAACCTGAGGTATGACTGTAGAGCCCTTTGTAGGTTCTCCATCGGTCGGAGAAAATAACAGAGACCAACCAGAGAATATTGAGAAGCGAAGCAGCTAATAATTGATTGTTGATCTATTGATTGTTGCAGCAGGGTGCTCCCCTCACATGCAGGGAAGGAGGAGGACCCAGAACAAAGGTGTGTCCGCCCTTATACAGACATTTTAAATTGCCTGCCCTGGTCCAACACCACCCCCAGAAACATCATACCAACATCACTGAAAGGGGTGTAGCTCAAGACCACCACCCCAGATACATCATACCTACATCACAGAAGAGGCGGTCTACAACAGAAATCTGAGTGCGTTGTTTATCTCCTGTCTGGCATGTTACCTGCTAATGGTCACTTAATTGGATTACCTGGGGAGCCAGGCCAGTCTTTTGGAATGATAAATACTTAGTTCCTGAGCCAGGTCACAGGCTCACCCTATTCTCTTAAGACAGGATTTGTGAGCAAAAAGACAACGGGGAGGCCTTTCCATTTTCCTTCAACCTTGCAGAGAAATATTTGAGGTCAATTTGGGAGGGACAAAATGGTTTCAGGACTTTTTCTGTGGGGTTTCAGGCATGTGGTTTATATAAGCAGTTATAAATATATATATGACCTTAATTTTTTTATTTCACGAATTATATAATTTAGATAAGGTGGGGGCACCCCCCATGTGCTAAAACTGATGGCAAATAATTGAGTGCTTTCTGGTTGGGGAATCCTGAAGGCGAGAGCCAGCTTTCGGATTGCACAGGGCTCATCGGCAAGCACGATTCTCGGCTGCGGAGAGAAAAGGGGGAAGGATAAGCATGAAGCGACTTCTGAGCACCTAAAAAAAAAAGGATATTGCATAATAATAATAATAGGTAAAAGGTAAAGGTAAAGGACCCCTGGATGGTTAAGTCCAGTCAAAGGCGACTGGGGTACTGGACTAAACCACTTCTGGAGCAACAGGACACCGTGATGGAAACCAGAGTGCATGGAAACACCGTTTGCCATCCCGCCACAGTGGTACCTATTTATCTACTTACACTGGGGTGCTTTCAAACTGCTGGGTTGGCAGGAGCTGGGACAGAGCATCGGGAGCTCACCACCGACGAGGGGATTCAAACCGCCGACCTTCCGACCAGCAAGTCGGAGTGCAGACAAAGGGCCAACGAAATGATCAAGGAGCTGGAGCTGGGATAGCTCTGTTGGTTAGAGCGTGGTGCTGATAATGCCAAGGTTGCAGGTTCGATTCCTGTATGGGACAGCTGCATTTTCCTGCATTGCAGGGGGTTGGACTAGAATCCTCGGGGGGGGGCTTCCAACTCTACGATTCTATGGAGTGACCCCTGATGTGGGTGCTGAATAACATGGAGGACAAAATATAAATATCTGTGGGACCTTTTCGGGGAAAAACATCCAGGAGTTTTTGAGAACCACCTTCTGGAATCACATGTGCAATAAAATGCAACACTTCCTGGGGTTTGCTGTAGCAATTTTAAGCTGAGATTCCTGAATTGCAGGGGTTCGGACTAGATGACTCTTGGGTTTCCCTCCAACTGTTCTACTATTCCTTCCATCCAATCGGATTGCCCTCTTCCATCGCAGAAGTTGCATTGTTTGCTGTCATTCCAATGGAGGCCTTTCCAACCGGAACGGCTGGGACGTGAGCATTCTGTGATGTCACAGCAGGACAGCCAATCCCCAGCTGCCCCTGCTATACTCCAGAGATATCTGGTTGTCTGGGTGCACTTTAATCGAAAACCAGTGGTAGCAGAATGGATGATGCAAAGACAAGCAGGCGCCTCAGGAGTCGAGACTGAAGCATTGTCTCAGCTTCCCCCCAAAATGGGACTCTCTCGTAAATCCCTCCAATTCTCCAGCTGCGTTAAAAATAATTGGTAGGTTGCCCATGTCAGTTGTCTAGGCTTGTTTGATTGTTAAAGTCTTCTCGTCGTCAGTGTGTCTGGAGTACGAAGCGCAGTTCGTAACAGGCGGTCAGATTTCTGTTTTGCTCTTTTCCGGATAAACCCGAACAAACCGAATTTAATTTGAAACAAGTGCTATGATAGGAGGGAGTCTGTCTTCACTTTCTCCCCCTTCCCCGCTAGTATATTGAATTTACAAAACTTTTTGTTGTTGTTTAGTCGTTTAGTCGTGTCCGACTCTTCGTGACCCCATGGACCAGAGCATGCCAGGCACTCCTGTCTTCCATTGCCTCCCACAGTTTGGTCAAACACATGCTGGTAGCTTTGAGAACACTGTCCCACCATCTCGTCCTCTGTCGTCCCCTTCTCCTTGTGCCCTCCGTCTTTCCCAACATCAGGGTCTTTTCCAGGGAGTCTTCTCTTCTCATGAGGTGGCCAAAGTATTGGAGCCTCAGCTTCATGATCTGTCCTTCCAGTGAGCACTCAGGGCTGATTTCCTTAAGAATGGATAGGTTTGATCTTCTTGCAGTCCATGGGACTCTCAAGAGTTTCCTCCAGCACCAGAATTCAAAAGCATCAATTCTTCGGCGATCAGCCTTCTTTATGGTCCAGCTCTCACTTCCATACATCACTACTGGGAAAACCATAGCTTTTACTATACAGACCTTTGTTGGCAAGGTGATGTCTCTACTTTTTAAGATGCTGTCTAAGTTACAAAACTTAGTAACGTACAAAGTACCTTTCCCGATCTACCAAGCGGACACTCATTTTCTCCAGCTCTGTCTCTGGCTGGCAGCAACTGTCCAGGCAGAGAAGGGTGTTTCTCTATAGGTACTTCTCTGGTCCCTTTAAATTAGAGGGTGGGGGACCTGAGACCTAGCGGAAGTTTCAGGACAGCTAAAAGGAAAGTACAGCTCAAAAAAAAAAAAAAAAAAAGCACATTGTTAAACTATGGAACTACCTGCCACAGGAGGCAGTGATGGCCACAAACCTAGATGGTCTGAGAAGAGGATTAGACAAATTCTTGAAGGAAAGGGCTAGCAATGGCTGAAAGCTACAATGGCTATGCTCTGCCTCCCTAGCTGCAGCCAGCAATGCTTCTGAATACCAGTTGCTGGAAACCCCAGGAGGGGAGAGTGGGTCTTGTGTTCAAATCCTGATTGCTGGTTTCCCATTGAGGCACCTGGCTGGCCAGTGTGAGGGCAGGATGCTGGACTCGATGGGCCCCTGGCCTGTTCCTTCTGCAGGCTTTTCTCATGTTCCTGTGACCTTCTGCATGCAGAGCAGCCGCTCTACCGCTGACCTACAGCCCCGACAGCTCTAGAAGTTGGGGTTCTACCACCCAGACGCTAAGATGACCCACCAGAAGTTGGCCACCAGCCTTCTGTGCACTCCTGGCTTAGATTGGCAGCAGCACAAATCTGTCAAGAGGATGTGCTTTGCTTTGCCAGGAAGCACCCAGGCAGCGTGGGAGAATCTTAAATTTGATGCCACACCTCTTTCAGGTTAGGCGACTCCCTGCCTGAGAGACAGCTCTGCAAATGCAATGGATGTCTGGGGATAACACTCACACACTCCATTTTTATTTATTACTGTACTACGAATCTAAGCAAGCTTTCCAATTCATGTGATCAGATCAGTCATAAATTCCCCCTAGCATTTGTGCTTAGTTTGGGGGTGGGGATTTTAATGCCCAATTTGGAGCAACTGCAAAGGGTCTCTGGCTGCCTGTAGGCTTAGTCCTGGATGGGGTTGCCAGATTTCAAAAAGTAAATTTGTTTTAGGAAAAAATTGCTGGGAGAACCTACCCCCAAAATAGTGATTTTTAAGCTTTTGGAGTTTACAGTTTCCCCTTGACTCTGTATCCTGAAACCCAGGAGAACGAAATTATTTTCTTCTAATTTTCCCCATTTTGTAGATCAGTTCCTCCAAGTTAGTGAGGACCAGGTCCAAGATAGATGATTCCCCTCGTTGCTTCTTCCACCTTCTGGGAAATGAAATTGTCAGTGAGGCAACGGAGGAGTTTGTCGGACCGTACATTCTTGGCAAAGTTCCAACAGATATTGGGGAAGTTGAAGTCTCCCATGACTAATATATCTCTCCTTTTTGAATGTTTGGTATTCTGCTCTAAAAAGGCACCACTCAAATCCTCAGTCTGGCTTGGCGATCTATAGCAGACACTTATAGTAAGGTCACTGTTGTTTTTCCCTCCTTCAAGTTTTACCGATATCCTCTCAATCTGCCGTTCATGTTCCGGGTCATAGATTTACATATCCTTTA